CAATATGAGTTTAATCATTAACTGATAGCTTCTGTAAAGTACTAACTGAGCTAAGAAGCGTAATTTCCGAATACTGAACGATGGAAATTTTCGTCAGTAGGTCAACGCGGAAAACTGTAGTAGAAGAATATACTTTAGAATTCCTAGTATTTTAGACCACAAACGATGCTGCGCGTTGAAATTCATTAAATATCCTCTGGAAATAATCCCGAAACAAGAAGAGCTTGTTCAAAATCATCCGTCTAAACCGTCTATTTATTTGGACCGAAATATTTCGGGGACTGGAAACTTGATCAATAGTGCTATACATTACCCTGCTAACTTCAATAAACAGTCCCTAGAATTGTATAGTATTGTATTTACTCATATTATGTTATTTTTGTAATCTAATACGATTTTCAAAGAAGCAGATATAACTGCAGGTTTTCAATGGATAATTACTCAAAAACAACTGCAATTTTTGCACTTGAAATAAAGATTACATACACGACATAATTTTAAACAACTTTTTTTAGATTCATCTGGTATTGTTTGCTTGAATCGTCCAATTGTTGTTCAGGATTGCAATTGATCAGTCTCTTATTGGCATATGTACATACTGTGAAAATTACCTCGATATTGTCTTAAGTCACAAGCATTATAAGCAGAGATGGATGATGGCTAGCAGTGGAATACAAGAAGCGTGTTTTGTCTTATTTTGGAACTCGTTAGCTAGATGTACCTGCATCCTAGAGTTGATGGCGTCTGAAGTGAACAATAGTGGGTTTGAGTCCCAGAGTAAACATCAACTCTGGGGTGAAGGTACATCTAGCTAACGAGTTCCAAAATAAGACAAAACACGCGTCCTGTATTCCACTGCTAGCCATCATCCATCTGTGCTTATAATCCTTGTGAATTTTTTAAAATGTTTTCTAGCGTAAAACGACTACTTTATTATGTAAACACTATGAACTCATACACGCTAACAGACGCTCAGCCAACCATGAGCACTTCAAATACAAAATACCTGCCTCGAGCAAAGCCACTCAAGGTTGTGATGGCAAATTTGACCTGAACCTAGCCTTTCATCCACTCCGAAATCCCTAACCCCTATTGATGAAAATCTATGGGTGCGATTAGAAACGTTGGGCTTTTAAAATGTGTTTTATAATAATTTGTTAACTGGCTGAAAATTGTGTATTGCTGTAATCTGATAGGTTGAAACCCAACTAGCACAAATCGTTTTGATTGGATGTTAAAATTTCCATTTTTACATCCGAATTTTGTTTTAATAAAAAAAGTTCTCTGAATCTATTTCATCGCTCATGTAATATAGAATTGTAACTAAGACTACTAGCCACATCAATTCTATTCGAGTGACATATAATACTCCTGTCTGTTAATAAATATCGAGACAATGATTAGGATCAGTTTTTTTAGTGATCATGTAGAAACGGATCTTAATTTATTCCGTTATATTGATTAATGTCGTCAATAATCGTGACAAGATGAAGACTATACATATCATTTAAAGTAAGCTAGAAAAGATTGATAACTATCTCTTAATCATGACACCGATTTGTAAATATAATAATGAAGAATGTAACTGAAAAAAAATAATGAATTTTCATATATGAACAAGGAGGAAATTATCTTCTATCTAACTGTTTCAATGAATTATTTTAACTCAACATTCAAGCCAGTAAAATTGCCGTCTGCGTTTAACCAAATGGATAAATCACTATGGTATAATAAAGTAAACAATATATTTAATTAACCATAAACGTATTATGAGTTAAACATTGGTGAATGATCAACTGTTTACACTTACTTAAATGAATAATAGTCAAGGTTCTACGTTCAGGTTACAGTCCACTCTGTGGGCATAGATTCGAATCCCACTCCTGACACTAGACTTATGCTCACGGACGCGAACTCAATTACGTTCATCTAAACACGCAAACACACACACTTATACAAACAGAAACACTCACTGGCCAATGTATGAATCAGATATAACAATGTGAATATTTGTGTTTTTATGATATTTCCAAATAGTAATGTTTAAGAAACTAGTGATGTTCTATGTCACTATCATAATGTGTGGAAAAAAAACGAAATGATTTGTTCAGGAGTATCACAGTCCGTAAATAAATAAAGAGTTGTTGAGTACTTTTACAATGCTATCACCATTAAGATTGTTTTCAGTTATAAATTACCCAGAAAGAAGCCCATATTGAAGGCCGTTTACAATGTGATTAATTATACTTGACCGAAAATACTTAAGACGAAAATAATCACAAGATGGTTGACAACCACGTATTAATTGTTATAAAAATATTTAGTGAAAAATAGTTTTGAAAAGAATTTTGACTAGTCTTTTATAACTTGTGGCCCTTGTGCCCTGTTAATGTATAGCGTCACGATACCGCCAATTAGAGAGCAGTGAATTATCGATCGGACCAATGATGCATAAAATCGGTACGAGCATTCTATAGTCCTCGTCGATCCTGCTTCCCGCCTAGCCTTGACAGCCTGTTAAGTCCAGAACACAAATCTCAGTCCCCACGATATGAATCATTTATCTTAAACATACTAGGTTTACATACCAATCAAACAGATCACATCGTACCATAAAATAGGAAACAACATATGTGCAAAGTTTAGCACAAAGTGGCTGTGAATGTGAGAGATGATGATTGGTAGACTGGGTATAACTTAAGAACGACAAACCGTATAATAACAGTTCATAGGTCAAAATAAAGCTCATAATAAGAGGGACATGAATATGTATAGTTTAGTTATTTCACAATTATACGATAAAAATATACGCATAGTATTGGTCCATAAATGGATCCCAAAAGTTACCATTCATTATTCTCATCATAGTCAAAAACCTATTTCCGATTATGGGAATTCATAATTGTTCTCTGCCTTTAACCAGTACATAACTATGACAATAAAGTTATCCGTTTATCTAATCGTGTCAACCAATTGTTGGGCTTGACAACAGTATTGCACAAGTTGTAAAGCTGTTGATAAACTGTTCCCTTACACGTACACACGTATTTTACCTAGCATAATGTTAATAGCAAGTATTTTATATTCATGCAATAAAGCAAAATCAGTATCTTAATTTTCTAGTAAAGGGTTATGGAGATTATTGAGTTTTGATTGAGACCATGAATCGATTAACATTAAACCACTATTGAAAACCTGGAAGCACCAGACAGTCGTTTTGCCCCAGTATGGAACTCCTAAGTAGTGCTTATCCACAATCCTTCATGCGGAATTTGAACCCAGGACCTTTGGTCTCGCACGCTAACGCTGGTGACTAGCAGTAAGATCCAGGATGTGCGTTTCGTCCTATTATAGGACCCCACGGAAACGGAAACTAATAAATTCTCTGTACTTATTCCCTATATGTAAAAATCCTAATGTCGAATCAAAATTATAGCTCCACGTTTTAATAATAATAATATTTATCGAAACATACTACAAAAGGGAATTAGAGCTAGCAAAGGATGAGAGGTTGGACGTGTCATTTTTGCACACAAAGCTGGGGCTTGAATTGATGGATTGCCAATGCCTCAGCAGTGCACAAGATTTTGATTCAATTCCTTTGACTGTGTAGATTATTTAAAAAAAGACTCTTTCGGAGAGAATTTTTCAGAGTTGATTAAATGCTACTTATATTGAGCAGGTAACTGTCTTACATTCTCCTTTCAAAAGTTATGCCGGGTATTGATCTGAGATGTGTTTAGAAAGTGATCACGTTACGCGGTCAATTTAACCTGCCCCACATAATCTAGTAAATTTATAGATGCAAATTGATATGGCCCAAAGTGGAAGTTTATCCTTAACATATCGGTGAATAGTAGGCTAGTTTGAGAAAACAATACGAAGCTTAGCTGAATAGAATATTTTATTCAAAGATTTTGAAATCCGTTTATTCAAGATTTCAACAACCATACCTTCTTTTTAATTCAATATTCATAAATGATTTCGTCGAAAAGAAAATTCTCTTCGTTGAATTCTCTTTAGTTTTATTCAATAACATTTGAATTTGTTTCACTATCTACAGTCGCCAATTCATGATATAAAAAAACTTTAATCTGTTTGTTCCTTGTTCCAACCGGGACTATAATTTATGAATGAACTAATCAGAATTAAGATAAAAGGTTTTGAATTTTAAAGCAAAATTCATCCAATCATCTGGCTAAATACTATTTCGGCATTATAGCTGATGTCAGTTCGTGATGGAAACCTTAAATCGAATACCCAATCTTAAACATCAACTGTGAACCAAAATTATAATTATTAGCATAGAGTTGTTGAGATCATGAAGCGATTGATGTTAGACCATTATAGAAAACCTGGAAGCACTGGACGGCCATTTCGTCCTATTGTAGGACTCTTCAGCAATGCGCACCTACGATCCCGCTTGCAGGATTCGAACACTGGGCCTTCAGTCTCGCGTGCGAACACTCGACCTACTAGACCAGTGAGTCGGCATCCAACAGTCTTAATGTTCTCACAATTTCGTGGATTGGTTGAAGTTAGACATTAACAGCATTGGATACTGGCTGGCTCAGTGGTCCAGTAGGTTAAGTGTTCGCGCTTGACTGAACGCCTCGAGTTCGAATCCCACCAGAGGGATCGTAAATTCGCCCTACTGAGAAGTCCCATGCTAGGATGGAACGGTTGTCCAGTGCTTTCAAGTTTCCAATGATGGTCTAATATCAATCGCTTCATGTTCTCAATCAAAATTATAATCCCTCACACTGATCTATAGCCGTCATTTAATCCTTATATGTAGGTGGATATTTTCAAGGTTATTTTACCATCTGCTCAAACATCGTCCATAAATTACAATCTCATCTCATTGGTTAATTACCTCTATTTTATTGATTTTTCCTAATATTAATTTATTTTCATTGAGATAACAAGAAAAATTAACCAATCAGATTAAAGAGTTTGTACTATTTTTCGTAAGACGAATATATCAATGAAGAAGAAGAAGAAGATAAAAGACAACAACAACAACAAAAAACAAATACACATTCAGTTAGGGTCAGTTACCATTACTGAGTATCCATGGCATTATGATTATTAATCGATTATTATTATTATTATTATTATTTTGATTATTACCAAGATTATAAAGTACTACAAGTAATTGAGAAAGGATCATCAATTATTTTAATTTCAATATTTTCTTATATTAAATAATGATTATTAATAAGAAGAATATATATTTTCATTTCTTAATTAATCTCTTATTTACATGGAAGTATATAACATGTATGATATATGATTTTCAAAGATATCCATTTTCAAATGATGATGGTGATGATGAGGAGTTTCAAAATCAGGTATGTTAACATGATATCGATTATATTAATGATAATCGTAATAATATTATTACTATATACCCTGATCAAATCTTTAGGTGATCCATTGTTTCCACTGTGTATAATATAATGATTCTAGTTGATTACTTACTTACTTACTTACTTACGCCTGTTATTCCATGTGGAGGAGCATTGGCCGCACACAAGCAATCTCCATTCAACCTTGTCCTGGGCAATCCTTTCCAGCTCTTTCCAGTTGTTATTCATCTTTTTCATATCTGCTTCTATTTTCCGACATAATGTGTTCTTTGGCCTTTCACTTTTTCCATTCCCTTCAGGATTCCAAGCTAGGGCTTGTCTCGTGGTGCAGTTTTGTGATTTCCGTAATGTATGTCCATCGTTTTTTTTTCTAATTTCCTCTTCAGCTGGAAGCTGATTTGTTCTCTCCCACAGAAGTCTGTGGCTGATAGCATCCGGCCAATGGATGACCGGATATCATTGGCCAATAATTACTGTAAAACAGTCTATGTAGCAAAGGATATTATGACTAAGAGTAATCTAGCATTCTGTGACAAATTATTTTCTTCTTCAGTGATAAAAAATACAGGTAATGTGGAAACTATTAACATCATAAACCGACTTATGATAAGAACTGAAAACCACGAAGCACTGAAGGGTTATTTGGTTCTAGTATAAGATGCAACAATACAAGGCGTTTGATAACTCTTATGCATCGTAAAAGTCTAGGTCGATAAGCCGGAATCTGTTAGTTTATGTTATCTAATTTTAGTTAATTCACAGTATTGCATGACCACCTTACATTTTCTTCGGTAAGTAACTGTCTTACGCCCGATATGGTTGAACTTCATTGGTCACGAATTCTTATTAGAATTCTATTTATTGAAATTTCCAACTGTACATTATTTTAAACGATAGTCTCCAAAAGCGTCAAAATTAATTGTTTCTTTTTAATTCTTGTATATTTTATCTCTAGTTAATTAAACAAAATGATTTCTTTATTGGCTTTAATGAATCCTGGCCATTAAGAAATGTGAACGACTATTTAGGAGTGGTATCCTCTATAAAAGCAACGGATCAATCCGCTTCAAATGTCTACGTTTTACATCGTGGTGATCGAGTATGGGATCAAAAGTAAGTTAGTTAGTAATAGGTCAATGGGGAAAAATGGTTTGTTTAGCGTTTTGTTTTCAAAAAATGAAACTCCACCCTAAAAAATGTCTTATCACTAGTCAAATGTAATCTAAGAACAGTGTATTGTAATCAGTATTATCGACAGTTATGATGAAATTCGTTCAATAAGTAGCCTACCAAATTAGTAATGAAAATACTAGTTGATATAATTAAATCAAGAAATTTGAATATCTAACTCCTATGTTCATTGCCGATATTGATCTAAATTAGTGTTATTACTCAAAGTGACTGGCTAACATGAACTGAGTAGATATGACTATAGCATATTAGAAAATAAACCCTTGTGAATAGATGAAGATTTTTTTAATTACACACTTAATATAACGACTGAAATGTCAATATTCGGTTTGAACACAAAACTAACGAATCAAAATTTATTCGATTAAACGAGACTACGTTCTTCTGATGGTAAGCGGCCTATGCTCCTTCGCGAGGAGTAACAGGCGTAAGTAAGTAAGTAAGTACGTTCTTCTGTATAGCGTACGAAGCATTTTTGAGTTACTCCATGCTCAATTTAAACGGTTCTAATTTAAGAAATAGGATAAATTATATCAAAAATATACAATACCTCAAACGGTACGACCTGTGCTCTAACACAAATTAGTGTACTAAACAACAAAAGAAATAATCAATACAAAAGAGTTCAATACTTGAGAATCAATAAAAATATTCCCGACAACATGGGATCAGATATCTATCTGCAGGGATCTCAGAAATCTTTCCACACAGATAGTCAAAGGTTAATAGTCACATATTGAACCACGCCGTGACCTTGAGCTTGATCAAACACGACCTTATTGTCAATAGTCCGGCAACAGTAACAGAAAAATTAGGTAACAAAAGGTAAGTATTTAATCAAAATCACACAATGAAAGCTCAATTGAAGAAGACTAAGAACACACAGTGTGGTTAAAAGAGATCTGGACAAAGGTTAAGATACAAATAAATGACATTACTGTCCAACAAAAATACTGTGGAGGGATTTTCAACGTTTTCTTACTGTTACACTTAGAACAGGTCAATTAAACTAAATTAGATTCAAATAAATAGACTTTTGTAAGCTCAAATTTACAGTGACGAAACATTGAATTTCGAATTGGCTATAAGTGTGTAACATGTGTCAAAGAACAATCAGTATCTTCTTATATATTTGACCACAGTTCACGCACATTAAAATGTTACAACTGACCTATTGAGTGATAAACTTAGGCTTTCCTAACACCTATTTACTTGAATACATAATAGATAGGCTTTCTACTGAAGATTGACTTGAAGAGTTATTGAATCATTCTTCGTAACATTAAAATCTTATATGTATCGTTTGAATGTTAATAGTTTTAATGATCATAGGAATTCTTGAATTTATTGTATTCAAAAATCTTTATTTTTAAGCAAGTAACTATGCATTACACCTTGTGTTCTTAAGAATCATTCGATTTTCATTGACTCATATGGCAACTAATCTTTCTCAATCATAGTATAATGCACCTTATATTGATTGTGAAACATATCGAGGCAAGGTAAAATTGTGATGGAGTTTTGTTCTCTGAGCTGGATGGTTTGGTCATGGAGCTTTCAAGTAGAAGTGAATTATTCGAATTTCTCCACACATGACTCAAATCAATGGGAGATACAAACAAAATAAAGAAGTAAACAATGACAGATTAAAGGTCAACAAGCTAGAAGTCATATGTAGGGAAATTCGAACAAATCACTACCACTTGAATTTCATTCTGATGATATTGTTCAGAAGAACGATGAAAGCTCCACAACCAAACCATCCAGCTTAGATAACAAAAATCCACCAAAATCATCCACTTCAGATACAAATCTTCTACACTATCTCAAGACAAAATTTACGATTATCCATAACAAGTAGTGATTATAACTTCAAGTATTTAAACCATGGAACTAACAGTTCTTTAAAAAGTTACACTTACCTAAAATAGGCTTGATGATCACCCGAAATTCTTTATCTTGCTATCGATATCTATGAATTTCAGTGATCATAACTTCTCAGTGGAACATCGGGATCCATCTAGAAGTTACTCATTAGATATTATTATTATTATTTGCATTATTATCACTATTAAAGTGGGAATTGTTGGAAGTGAGTTAAAATACTTGTCCATTATTTATTGATTTTCAACGGTTGAATGTACCTATAACTTACTTAATGTATTCTCCCTCAAGAGATCTGTATAGGCTAATAAAGATAAATAAATTGCAGTTCCGAATATTAATAAATGGGAAAATATCAACACTTACATATGTAACTTCATACCAATCCAATAATTTAGTAGCTAACTGAACTAAGTAGCCTAAAGGAAACAACATTAGAGGACAGAACACCCATCCTAGATTTCACTGCCAGCTACAGTTCAAATTTGAAAACAAAACTTCTATGCATTAAGGCTATCTCAAGCCAAACTGTTCAGGAAAAACATATCTTTATAGGGAATGAACAATTTTGATCCTGAATATTAACAACAGAAAAATACAAACCCTTACGAAAAGAATATCACCGTTTGAAATTTTCTCATCTCTGTCTTTTATTTTATTTATAGTACATTTGATGATCGAGATAACTACCGTCTCAATAAGTCTGAACCTATACAAAAAGGAGTTTTAGTACAAATCTTTAATGGAGAGATTAAAAGAACCTATTTTCCTTCCAAGTAAGTGATATTTTCTGTCTTACCACGATATACTACTATAATATGATGATAAAGCCTAATACGAAACCATGCTAAAACTTGACCGGATACTCGATAGATAGGCTATTCTCAGAGATTGAAATCACCTTATACCAGATTTATGATCCGTGACTAGATATAGAGTACTAAATTATTAGACTAAACAGTACTCAATTCAACAGAATTATAATGAGTGTTGATTCAGTAAAGATTCGAGTAGAAATCAATAATAAAAAAGAAATCACATATTTACTAGTCGGTGAGCTAAGTATCTATTTGTCTCCACTTATTAGTTAATCAAATCATAGTTTCACTGACCATGCAGCAATATGTATGTATCGAGAAACAAACTATTTTCTTAATAATGGTTTACAATTTTTATTTTGAAGGTAGAAAGTAAACAGTACGAGGATCGACATTGAGTTATCTTCGCATATCCAACAGATAATCTCATAATACTTATAGAACAACGACTATAAATTACAACTTTAGATCAAAGAAATACAAGTAGTGTTGAATGTCGAAATGTATCTGTATATTCTGAAACTTAAATATTTTGTCAAAATGTTTAATATAGAGTTATGGTAAGACTATAATTTATGGCTGAACCAATTAAATTTATGATAACACGTCTTGAACTTTGGCGCGAAATCAATCCATTTATTCGGCTAAATAGAATTTTGGCATTATAGTTGATTTCAGTTCGTTATGTAAACCCTATTATCTGATTCTTAACCGTAACTATCAACTGTAATTATTAGTCCAAATTTCTCACACTGATTCATAACCCTCATTTAACTGTATTATATAGGTGGATATTCTCAAGGTATGTTTAACGTCACTCAATAGTTGTCCATAAATTATAGTCTCACCACAAAATCTATTACTTATACATGAGAAATAATAGGATTATATGTTAGTTTTCAATTGACCAATAATTAATGAAGACTGAAAATCAAGGTCACAAACTAACCAATAATTATTCAGTTCAGTATTTCATAACATATACTTCAACAATTTCTCATTGATAATTGGTTAGAATAATGCAATAACATTTATTCTTGATCTAGCTCAGTAAAACACATAGAATGATGAATATGTTTTAAGTTTTAAAACAAGTATTCATTATCAATTGTAAAATGATGTATTTATCTATGGTGTTATTTGTCGTTGTTGTTTCTTTTACCAAAAAAAAACAAAACAAAGATTCTTTCTTCCTCATGGGCTGACAATAGATCCAGATGGAAATTTCTGGATTACAGATGTAGCTTTACATCAAGTAAGTTTGACACAATCAATTAAATATTGTAAAATGGAATTATGTTTTCTTTTAATATGTAGTTAACTCATGTGCTAATTTTCCATGACTAAGCTTTAATGATAACAATAATAACTATTATCGTTATTATTGTTATAACTTGTGGCCTTGTGTCCTATTAATATGACGTAATGATACCGCCAATCAGAGAACAGTGAATTATTGACTGAACTAATGACGCATAAAACCTATACGAGCATTCTATAGTCCTCGTCGATCTTGCTTCCCGCCTAGCCCTGCCTGCCTGTTTAGTCCAGAACATCAATCTCAGCCTCCGCGATATGAATCATATACTTCAAACATACTGTGTTTATATATCAATCAAGCAGACCACATCATACCATAAGATTTGAAACAACATTTATACAAGATTTAGCCCAAAGTGGCCGTGAATGTGTGAGATAGTGATTGGTAGACTGGACACTCATTCGATTGGAAAAATGTGGAAATCTTGGACAGAGGAAATTCCAAAAAACACAAGGGAATTTTTAGAAGCCTGGCACTCAGGTTAGTCAGCAATCAACAAACACATTGAAATCGATCCAATTTATCAACCAATCAGGAAAATTATGCACAAATATAGGACAAGAATCAAACCAATAGGAGACACAACCAAAACAAAGAAGTAAACAATAACAATAAGAACCAATCAACATCGAGGTGCACAGAACAAGCTGTGAAACGCATATGGAGAAATTCGAACACTTCACTTCTATCTGAAGTTTGTGCTGATGATGTCGTTCAGAAGAACGATGAAAGCTTCACGACCAAACCATCCAGCTCAGAGAACAAAACTCCATCAAAATCATCCACCTGAGCTACAAATCTCCACCATCTCAAAATCATATGATTGGTAGACTGGGTATAATTCAAGAACGGTAAATCGCATAATAATAGTCTATGGGTCGAAATAAAGTTTATAATAAGAGGGACACGAATATGAATAGTTCAGTTACTTAACAATTATACGATATAAATATACCTGTATTGATAGTCCAGAAATAGATCCCAACAGTTACCATTCGTTATTCTCATTGGGATATAACAATTATTATTTGGTGAATTAAGAAACTTGGAAAATAAACTATTCAATCAGGGTTCACTGTATAGTTTTTAATTGTAGATAATGCTATCTCTTTCTTAAACTACTCAATGTCGTGTTATTTGATGTCATTCACAAAACCGATAATGATCATGGATCATTCTCGTGTTATGTATATATATCTGACGAAAAAGTTATATTGGCATAGTAGAACAAAGTATACTATAGACAAATTCAAGATTCATCAAATTATTTTTACTGAAACCTTGAAGCAATAGTGTTAAAAATACGAATTGCTCTTTAACTAGTTCGATCCGGAAACATGGGTTTGTGAACTAGTCCACAAGCACATACAAACTTTATAGTTCGAAGCTAATAACGAAATTGCATGACATGTTGTTATTTGTATAAATGTACACAAGAAACTATGATCCTGAATTTAATTGGCAACTTATGACAAAATTTGGGATCGAGGAGTTTCTAAAAAGTACTGAGAGCATGTAGAACCCAAGTACTCGGTTCAGTTTTGTTATATCTAGAACTTGTATTCTTGTTATACAACGTATAGCTTGAGTATTCGAACACTAGAACTCACCAAGTCGCAGGTTGGAAGACAGAAGACGAGTAAGAAGGAATCCTATTGCGAACAATGTCGAATATGGTACAAAAAACTCAGGTATTTATACTTTTTAGTAAAAACGAAATCATCATTACAGTCATCTAATCCGCATGCAGTGGCTTTTAGCATTTGTCCAATCGGGAAGCTACACGTTGAGATTCCGGAACATTCTTCCGAAAGATGATTGGATGGAATGAGTTCGGCTCCTTCTGAACTTCTAATAGCTTCCTTGAGTTCATCGGGGGCTGTCCCCACAAGTTTGTAATCAGTGGACATATCAGCCTAGATCCGATCTATAGTCCTATATTTAATAAGATTACTCAATTACGTGATCAAATGTCAAATAATCAAACTGGTCAACTAGAATCTGAAAGCATATGAAGAGAATAAGATGTAACAATAACCAGTCACAGACAATGCCCTCGGGACCGAGTGATTTGGCGCTTTTGGAAAAAGTTCAGTTCTGCTTCAAGTTAACATTAGTGTTTATAAACACTGCACATGTCACGATATATCAGATTCAACACTGTTTAAATGTAACCAGTCACATATGACAATCAATTAGATTATAAATAACTATCATCGTTGATTATCAATAATTATCCCTATTGAAATTTTGCCATTGATTCAGTAATAAATCCTATTTTATCACTACAGTAATGCAAGTAAGGTCAGTTGAAGCGAAAAGCTGTTTTGGTTTTTCGGAAATATCAATATGTATCGAAAAATAAAATAATCGATAGTTCTACAGTAAATCATGATTGGTTTACATTAAACTCACCTGCAAGGTGATGAACACAACAACAGTCTACCCTCAAAGTAATCAAGAATAACAATAACAGACTAAAAATGGCGTAAACAAAATGTTTTAACTAATAAGAAAACAATTAGTTGACAGGACTATGATTTCGGGACGAACCAATGGGATTTGAGAAAGAAAATTTGGGATTCTTGGAGGAAATTCACACATAATATTCCAACAATCTAGCTGATGTCGTTTCGTGATGAAAAACTTAACTCTATTTCTTAGCTTTAACTTTTAATCCTAATTGTTAATTCTATTTACCCCCCTCATATTTATTCATTACCTTATTATGAACCTATTTAAGACTCTCTCAGTTAGTTATTCAATAGTTAATTCAAGCAGTATATAGAGCCAAGAAAAAAAAACACTAACTACTCCTAAGTATAAATTCACTTGGTGTGGTTTTACTTGTATATTCCCACTGGGATGCAGGTACATCCATCTGACCAGTCCCAAATAGGACGAAACGCGCGTCCTGGATTCCACTGCTAGCCACTATCCGTCTTTACTCTTAAGTATATTTAAAATACAAGAATCTTACGACCTGAATATATTTTTTTCTATACATAAGGTTTTTAAATTCTCGCCAAATTTATCAAGTGAACCATTATTAACACTTGGTGAACGTTTTAAACCTGGTTCAAGTGAAAATCAATTTTGTAAACCAACAGACGTAGTAGTTTCTACAAATGGACAAGTTTTTATCTCTGATGGGTAAATAAATTTAATTATATTTCCCATTTATGAATGGGTTTTGTTTCTTTAATGAAACCCAATTGTCTGTTACCTTGGATATAGATTTTTTTAAAACGCTCAATTTACTTTTGATTTAGTCAACTACATAGGGTCACGAGTATTTCCTCTACAGGTACACACACACAAACACACAATACAATGTGGTACCAAGTCGAGCATAAGACATTGCACTTAGTTGACTACTGAATTGTATTTAAATAGACGAGATAAGTTTATCAAAATTTCAACAGAGTATAAACAACAATCGTAGTAAACTAGTACGAATTTTGTAGTATATCTCAAAACTGAGTTGCAAATTTTCTATTAGCATTTTATATGTCACTGCCCTTGATAAAAACTGCTTTTGTTTTGATCATCCCTTTCCTAACCACGAAGGGAGATGTTCACTAAATCGTTGTATTATATGTCTGGTTGTATGCCCAATATTGCTTTCTCTTCGTAGATACACGTGGAAGTGGAAAAACACGGTAACTTATACTTTGGTTGAAGAATAAGCATAAGTCATCTTAAAAGTGATAGACAGGGGTTATTGGCATCAATTGGCCTGTTCATTGCTTTATTTAGTATATCTTGTTAGTACATTACTAGCTATATCTCCATTTAATTGTAGCTTTAGGAAGAGAAGTCTCTTACTATCTGTTTATGCCCAATCAGTAATATTGTGGTTGCTGTCAATATGCATAGAAAAAAATATACATTATTCAAATGTCGATTCCTGAACTGCTAACACTTAACAGAAAACCGCTCAATATTTGTCGCAAGAATTGATCAAGAAATAAGGAAAGGAAACTTGTCGAAATAATTTATGCTGATAATTCTATATTGTACCAAAAATATAGTATTGAATAAAGCTAATAATACTACTAATAATGGATTAAATGTCCAATCAACAGTCTCTGACTACTGACTTCATGTCTGGCAAATACCGTTTGGCACTAAGACTCTACAAACTACTTATTTCAGTTATAATCCAACTTATTACAAGTATAAATAAATGTATTTAACAAACAAATAACCGTAAGTTTATTAAGCTAATCAGTTGAAGTTAAGCGCTAGATACTAATTTGTTAGCTTGAAGGTTATTGGCTCGTTGGGAGACCTAAACATCTTGATCTCCATTTCCCGATGAGTTCATGGGTATGTACCACTGTGAGACCTCATTTTAAGATGAAACAACCATCCAATGTTTCCTAATTTTCAATGGTTGTCTTATTAAGGTCAGTTTGTGATATAAACTATTCATATAAAAAAACTCTCAAGATTTCATACAAGTTGTTTTTTTATTTCCATAATGTGAACTGTCTTCATAAAAAATAAATATTCTATTACTTTATCTTACACAATATACAAAAGGATGAATCGACCCTCCAGTGTTTCCAGGTTTTCCACGGTGGTCTAGCTTCAATTGACTCATGATATCAAGCACTGAAATTACTATAATATCTACAAAACCCGTTCTGATGCTAATCAACATATCCTCACTAGTGACTAGCTTCAAGAAGTATTTCCTGTAGTTCTAGTGAGAAGCAGTAACCAGTGAAGTCCAACCAGGTCTGTTGTGAGATAGCAACTCACTGAAACCAATGGTGGATGTGTCTCTTAATTTTGTGGATTCGTTGAAATTAGACATGTACACCGTTGGGTACCGGCTAAGTGGTCTAGTGGTTAAGTGCTTGCTTGCGAGGTGGGTTCGTGGATGCGCACTGCTTAGAAGTCCCACAATACGACGAAACGGCCGTTCAGTGCTTCCAAATTTTCCACAGTTGTCTAGCTTCAATTGACTCATGATCTCAACCATTGAAATTACTACAATATCCGCAAAACCCCTTCTGATATCTTAAATTTACTAACCTTTACTAGGTACTGTAATAATCGCATTGTGAAATTTAATGAAAATGGAGAATTTCTAAAATCATGGGGTTACGAAACAAAAGGTAATTGAAATTATTGTTTTGATTGTAGATATCCGTCATTAAAAAAATAATATTTTTAATAAAAATGATCGATCATATTGGTACGTTGTCTCCCAATGGGTCTTGATCTTATCTACTATATTATAACAGAAGCTAAAAGGATTTAAATCTATAGCCTAATCCATATACTCAGAAGAAACTTGTAACACCCTTTTTCTCCCTTGGCCGGATAGGGGTTCACAAGTGATAAACTGGTTAATATTATTAGTAGTATTCATATCTTTTGTTCTTTTTTTTCATCCCTGTTTCAAATATATTCTTCATTGTCGAATTAATTGAACACACTTTACTACATAAATTTTAATAATCGTTAATAATGACCACTCTGATATTTACTTTTTCCGAATGTTTTGACCCACTTCTCGAGTGTTAAAACATTGATTTAAGCCCTTGTTATTTTTATGACAACTGGTAGACCCTCCATCACCTATTGCTTATTATAGCTTAGTTAAGTAATTGCTAAAACTATATTATGGTGACGACCTTCAGACGGCCAATCAGATTCGAAACAATGTCTAAATACTTTGCGCAACATTCAAAACGTAATGAAGAATATGATGTATCATATGAAAAAATAGATATAACTTGTTCATAATTAGTTTCAAATAATATGTCTTGTTACTGGTACGTTTAAACTGCCTTCCTAGCCAGTTCCAATATTTACAACTACTTTCACATGTTAACTGGAACGCTAAAAGGAAGACGCGAAGTGTGAAAAGAATGCTTTACTTGAAGGTTCGTTTATTTACAGAAAAACGAGAGTATTTATAGAGTTACGTATCCAATCAAAACTGTGGCACATGTATCTGCATTTTCTAGATGTTTCCACGAAGATGCTTTTCAATGTTGATTGAATAAAACGTTCCCTAACGATCATGGGCCTCCTGGGTCTTTAGCGAAAGGTATTTTTAGGACTTCATTAGCATTGAAGTTTTTAACGTATCAAGAATTGCTTATATGCAACCACACAGTCAGTTAAACAAGATGCATAAGCTAAGTTGATAAAAATCCTCATTCAATATCCCTATCGTATTTGAGAGTCTATGATATGATTCATGGACTAGTTAAGCATGTTTTTGTAGGATTATATAGTAATCTCAAGTTCTCACTCCTAACTCTGATACTTGACTTTAACCGGGCTCCTAATCATTAAAATCTAACTTTTCTTTCCTTAATTATGTTAGAAATATTTATCTATCATAATTCTATTACATTCTACCTAAACACTGTTCCCTGATTGTACAGCAAGTTGTTTAAGGTGGTTGCTGTAACATAATTTAATCTTTTAATCTACTTGATTGTTATCATTGACTAATGAAATACCTTGATTGGTTTAATATTCGTCACATATCCATAGAAACGTTCATATGTCCTACTCTGATTCAGGGTTTTATGAATTGACCAAGTAATTACTATTTTATTACTTTTAAATATATATTAAAGTATGAATTTTCTCTTTGTTGACATTCATATTACAATGAATCTGTCTCTATTGACTTAATATTGTCTTTGATTACTAGTCTTTAGTATGATAGAGACGTGTCTAGTAGTTGAATGTATACCTGCATCTCGGTGTTCAATTTCACACTGCAACTCAAACACAATAACCTACTGCTAACATCAATCGGTTCATGATCTCAATCAAAAACTTAATAATCTTGACAACCCCTATGCTGATAATTAACATGTGCTCACTAATGATTAGCTTTGTGAGGGAATTCTCGGAGTTTTAGTGAGAAGCCGTCACCAGTGGAGATAATCCGTGTCGGGTAGAGACAGGTATCTACCTCAGTACAATGGAAGCTGGTCGCGCGATTTCGTGGATCGGTTGATGTTAAACACTAATACCACTATGTGGCAACTGGCTCAGTGGTTCAGTAGGTTAAGCGTTCACACACGGACTGAAGGCCCTGGGTTCGAATCCCGCGAGCGGGGTCGTGGATGCGCACAATAGGACGAAATGGCCGTCCAGTGATTCCAGACTTCCAACGGTGGTTTAAAATCAATTAGTTCATGACCTCGATCAAAAACTTAATAATCTCCACAACCTCTATACTACTGCTTTAAACTCTAATCTATCATCATCCATTGGGCTGCTTATTTCTAATACGAACTAACTTTTTCAAATAGTATGAAGTTACACATGTAAGGATTTATATTTTCCCGCAAATTATCGGTTTCTCGGAGACCATGTGGATTTCGCCCCGTCCAGCTTAAGTCTCAGTGTGAATATCAATACTGGTATACTGGTGTACAACAAGCTGACACGCTCGTAAACGGAAAAATACAAATCGTTTAATTATACTTTGAATGACTGAATTGTGTTTTTGATTCCAATGGGATATTGGAATTCAAGTTTGAGATTCAATGTGTAAATTTCTGAGAAATTTTAAATTACTATAAAGGTATATAAGAAGATTGGAGAGATTGTTGAATTTGGTAGTTTCTATCACAGATTTACTCTAGTCAAACAACCATTAGCACTCAAGAAGCATTACACAGGTGATTTGTCCTAGTATAAGAATCCTAAGTAATCCATATGAACTCTTCCAATGGGGATTGAACCTAGGGTCTTTAAGCCACTCTACGAGCTCTTAACTTGTAAGCCACTGAGTCGGCATCCATTGGTCTAAATTAAAACTTCAGTCGATACGCGATATTCAGAAATTATCTCCTAGTTAAGGTCATTTCATAGTTTTAATTGGTTAACATAGTTTTTCAATTCATGACGATTAATAGCTTGAAACGTTTTATGTTAATTTCTTGATGAAAAAGTGACATTTATGCTTACGTTGAATCTTTTCACTGTTCATGATGATATTCAGCTTAACAGTGAAACTAATTTTTGTTCAGGTTCAAAAAGCAGTTGAATTGTGTATAGAGAACATGATAGACGATCCTTTTTTGTTTCCTTAGTTCTAATGTGAAGCTTTAAGCAGTAATGGAGTGCAATAAGATCAGAAATTTGTATAGATAGCACTGATGACAGTGGATAATAATTGCACGATATAGCGAATGAATTAAAGCCAGGAATACGAAACATTGAGATACAATTCAATTATCGAAATGGTAACTTACTCAAGATAAAGATTTTTTTGTCTACTGGAGTTTGATTCCAAATCAGGAAAAAGCGATTGTGCCCCAGTGATCCTTGATTATCAATAATAACTTAGATGTAATCAGTTCATGAAACGAAGATCTTCAATAAGCATCCTACCAGTGGCTACTCATTATTAATTCAGTAGTGTATAATTCTTTGTGTAATTTACGGATGTTGTGATTTTTTTATTTTTAAAAGATTTAGAATCTCCAGGACTATATGATTTAAATCTTCCGCATCAGTTATCTTTATTGGAAGAAGAAGATGCAATATGTGTGGCAGACAGAGAAAACAAACGTATTGTATGCTACACAGCTGGTTTATATTCGACAACATCAGATAGTACCGGTGATTATCTATTTGAGTACAAACAACCAGAGATGAGACCAATCTATGGCATTGCCATTGAACCTTCAAGTATGTTATAATCTTGAATCTTTTTCACATGCTCTATGATTGAATCACTAGATATATTACATTAACACAATTACTGTTAACGCTTTGTAGACTACTGGACTTGATTTTGACCAATGACACTCTTATACCGACGATAAATAATCTCGTGTAATGACTGCGAGAATTCGTATGGTTGTTAGTCTTTAAAGTAGCTTCCTTCTAACTTGGCATCGAGTTATAAAGCGAACTTAGCAAGCGGATAAAACTCCTATTACATATTTGTCCATTGCAACTGAAAGCTCACGTTGTAATATCGGCTAAATACCTAATTACATAGCAACATAAACAGGAAATCACAAGGTATACATAATTACTCCAGAAGTGGATAAAAATTTAGGGATCCATTAAATTACAACTTATGGTAAGTAACACATATGACAGTATGCTAGGTTTGAAGCGGTTACGAGTTCACTTAATCTGCGAACGGAACAAAGACGCGGTGACCAAAAAACCAATAACCTAGCTATTTGATGCGTCCCAGCCCCGCTAACTAGAGGAAGAAGTCCAAGCTTAGAATGGGGAAGTATATTCTGCAAACAGCCAGAAACGAGAGATAACAACAAACACAAATCAAAACGTATATATATACAGTACAAAACCGTCCTTGGGGAGAGTTACCAAATAGCATACTAAAAGATGCAACGGACCAACAGCATTTAAGATTCTCCCAAGTGGGAAATACAACATGAAGGTAAAAAGAGCGTCTTTGGCGCGAAAACAAAGAAATTCAAATTTTCTAAATAAAATTACAAAATAAGATCCTTTTCCAAATGAGTTCTGGGGATCTAACGTCTCCAACACAGTAGTTTATGAGTCAACCAAAATCCTACGATATAGGGCATACAACAATACAATCATCTAAGTATTTAATAGTTGTTTAATAAAAGTATGAATAATCATTTTCGATTAAATCATTTGCTTAAGCTGGATATTCGTATTTATAATTGTTTAATAAATATGTGTGTCTATGGAACGATATAAAAGACTGAATCATTATTTGGTTCATTGGACAGTTATCTATCATAATTTTGATCCGTAAATTTTTTTCATCCTCCAATTCCTCTCGAATCACCTGATTATTACTCATCCTCAGCTGGCATCCGAAATCTCGAATCACTTTATGTTGCAATTCTTTATCTAGGAATAAAAATTATAAGCAAGGGTAGATGGTGCCCAGCAGTAGGGTGGAGAACGCGAGTTTCGTCTTATTTGGAGCTCATTCAGAAGTGAACATCAACTCCAGGATGCAGGTGCATCCATTTAAAGATGATTCTTAAATAGAATGAAACGTGTCACGATTTGATCGGTACACAATCAAACTTTATGGAATTAAATTACATAACAAATATTAAAATGGGGAGCACAAATAAATGAATCACTACAAGAATCAATCATACTTTTAATAAAGGTAGACTTTTCATTGATTGGCAGTTTGATCAAGATAGATCACACCAAGTTCTGACCGAGTCAAAGTAATAGGTGTTTAGGCGTGCAGGATAATGGATGTGCACTGCTGAAGTGTCCCATACTAAGATGAAACGGCCGTTCAGTACTTTCAAATTTAAAATAGTGATGTAACTTAGATCGACTCATGAACCCAACTATTAAAAAATATTATTGATTAATCCATTTACGGACTATAACAAACATAGAACATCATCAATATTGACATAAGCAATTATCTGAATAGTGAAAATACGTTTTCATCATTACAATTAACTATATACTTGTATTCTCTAATTCACCTTATTACATATTTGTACATATCTATATCAACTACTTTCTTTAGCTAAATTAATATTTGCACTTGTGGGCTCTACACCTAATGAAGATAATTCATACGTGGAAATTATTGATTTTAATTCACAAGGGTTAATTGGTGAAATCAAAAATCAATGGAAAACAGTAAGTTATTATTTGAAAAAGAAGAAAAAAATCCAGATTAATAGTTTTTTTATCGGTGGTTTTATTGAAATATACATTGTTCAAGAGCTGATACTGAAATACATTGGTACAAGGGGGCACCAGATACATATGAACCATACAAATCTCATCTGATTTGCGCGAGGACTATGATACTGCCCGGATGCCAAGACCAAAGCAGATGGTCTGTTTAGGGGGCTACATCCGAAGCCTTTGACCTAAAGGTCTGATCCACAAGTTAGTGAAGCAACGTAAGGAGATGTAGTCCTATAGTAGCTGGTGACTAGTAATTGGTCCATACACCATTTGCTCCTTCAGAATAGCGGAGCCCATGTGCACCATTGGTTTGGAATCATGGTTTTCCAACTCCCCTAGGTAAACTCTCCGTGCCCACTAACTCGGTTAAAGCGCCGGAAATTTGCTTTCCGTCCTCTCAACTTCGTAAACAGCACCCGCACCACGAGGCGGTGAGTAGGACTTCCCTGGCAGAGGCTATATACGCGTGGCCATTTGAGAACATTTCGAGAGGGGGAGCGGACTTTCTCCACTCTCGGCCGTACCACGGCATTTGGGGGCCTACTTATATACGAGCCTAACTGGCTACTGAAATGAAAAGACAGATTGAGAAAGGAAATTTATGGACTATACCAAATCTACCGTATATGTGGTTATTCACCAATGCCAAACACCCCATTCTTTAGAAATACAAGTCATTTTGTTGAATACTCGAAAGTACTTGATCAGAATGATTTGTTACAAGTTTCTACAATTATTAGGTCATTAAAACTAATCAAGATGAAACCCTAAATCTACATCTTATTTTATTCTACACTTGTCATCAAGAAATGTCTTTAATCTTGACTATATGGATCATATGTATCAATTCTAGTGAACTAAAGACTATGCAATATTGAAAAAATGATCAAGTCATACAGAACACAATGATTTCTGATGATCTGTAGGAACAAGCTTGCGAAAATTATTTTTCAATTAGTCAGTTATTGAAGGTTATTCTTGTTAAACTGAGCTTTTTCTCTATCATATATTGATATTTTTATTGAAATCAATCGGTATTCAGTTTGTTTACGAATCCAACTTTCATAATCGAATATAATACTGATAGGTCCTAGGTTCGAATCTCTCGAGGCGGGACCGTGGGTGCACACTGCCACTAAGGAGTCCCATACTAGGACGAAACAACCGTCCAATACTTCCAGGTTTTCTATGGTGATCTAGTTTCAATTAAACCCATGAAGTATTATTAAATTACTATAATATTCACAAAATCCCTCACTGATTAAAAATATAATATGATTGAAATATTTCATTATTTTCTTTTCAAGGGATTCGGTAATGTGCATTCTATAACAACATGTCCATATAACAAAGGAATAAGTTGTATACTATTCTGTAATACAAATTTACCATCACAATTAAATCAATCGATATTATCAAATCAAACTCAAAGTATTTCTAAATATCAAGAAGATTTCAATCATGAACAATTTGATAGACGTTTATGGCTTTATTATTTAAGATTTAACTCTGAATACAATTATTAAATGAATGAAATCATTGTCATTAATCTTATAATGGAATAGTAATGATAGTCAATATAAATATATATATATATATATGGTTGAAACAAATCACTATTTTATGATCTTTTTTATTGAAAATGTTTTGATTGGTTCATATTAACCAATAAGAAATCGACAAATTCAACGATAGTTGATATGGATTATATGATTTTATAATCTATTAAGGTTTAAATAGAACTTCGAAATTGAACCATTTTAAATCCTTTCGTATTGTATTGATAAATCTTATAAAGAGGAGACGCTTGAATCTGTTTCCTAAGCTCTTCCAATAACACCAGGCTAAATCTTAACGGCAAATCGAACATGAAAGAAAAGGCAGAAGTGTATGAAGAACGCTTTACTCCAAGCTTAGTTTACGTGCAAAAAATCGAGGGTATTTATAGCATTTAGGATGGCCTTTGGCTTCTGGAAGGTTCTGGAACCCTACCGAACATAGTAACAAGATGGGAGATCATCCAATCAGAAGTGTGACACGTGACTCTTCACTCTCTAGATGTTTCTGAGGAACTTCTATTGAATGCTGGTTGGATAAAATGTTTCTCAGAGACTTCAGGACCATTCTGGGGTTTTTATCGAGGAATACTCTTTATCGCCCCATATAGGTACGGCATTTTAATCACGCTTCCTGAATAAAATATTTTTGTAAACGATATTCGTCATCAAGAAAACTAGCTAACAGTAAGAAAGAGTGGAAAGCTTTTGAACATCATTTCAATATATCCAGTGGTAAGCAGGATTTTTATACAACCAGATTCAAAACAGTAAGGTATAATAGGATGGGAATAAAATTATTATTAGTTTAAATACCTGGCAAGTTTATCCAAAGTGTAATGTAGCAGTTACAAATAGATTAAAACGTATGAAAACAAGAAAACACTATGAAGATAAATATTGGGATATGTTTAAAACACAACAAAGATATAAAAAGCATTTTACACTTAAAATAAGCATCACAGAAATATTGATACCATATTTTCACTTTACCGACCTGAGACACAATCATTTCAAGTTTACTTCAGTTGGAAGGGGGGGGTCAGATTAAACATTCGAAAAAATGAAGTAACCATTCATAACTATATTATACCAAATTACAACTGTTTAATATTATGTAACAAAGAGAGATTACGGGGTATTACCACTCATTGGTTTTTATTAAAACATCTCCAAATGATGAGTTTTAATTAGTGGAGTGATTGGACACATGCTAATTTAGAAGTGGTTTTTACTCAAAACGTAAACTCAGAATGAAATGATGAGTGTATATATATATACTAACAAGTGTTATGAAATGGATAAATTATGGCAAGCACTAAAGTCCTGAATGCGTTTCGTCCTATATCCGATGCGTCAGCTGGATTTACACCTGCATTCCGGTGTTAATTTTCACACTGAGACTTAGACCCAGTACCGTTCGCTTCAAACATCGACTTATGGTGAAACGGTTTTATTGAGACAATTCGTACAAAATGTACGTTTATAACATAGACCGGTCAGTCCTTGATATCAACAATAGGATAACCTAAACTCGTGCTAATAATGATATATTGTGGAGGTTCTTGTCTCACCAGAAGGTACTTTGTGAATTAGGGGAGCATGAAGAAACGAGAGTGGGGAGAGTTGGAAAAGAAAAACAATAGAAAAGATGAGTTGACTACCCAGTAACACACAAAATACACCTACGTTTAATAAGAAAAATAAACAACAGTCAGAAATGACATAAGACTCAGGTCAAGATCAACTTAGAATCGAGGCCAGAAGCAGATAGTATGAAATTTTTATTCCGCTATAATATACACTACTGGTTCCTATCATACAATATTGGAATTTAATTCACTTTTTAATTGTCTGTTCGAATCTTCCCACTGTTGTTTTAGGACTGCAATTGATCAGTCATTATTGGCATTGGGATTTACTTATCTAACATTAACGTGTATTTCACTACTTAAAACGAGCAATTCATATAATTAAACCTATGCTAACAAACTTTTTAAATACTATCTGAAAAAGGAAATCCAATAATTCAAATACAGTCGTTGTATCAAAGAGAATTTGTTCTCTTTAGTAAGTACCCATCATCTAATCTTGGTATTGTTCACTCGATGGTCCCAATATACATGAGAAATGCTTTTAAGCCATCAATGATCAAGTACACTAGTAATGTAGAAATAACCTCTAATTTTGAAGCTAATATCTAATAATCATAATGTAGAACAGAATGAGCTGATGCTCAGTATACTCATTCTTTGATTAGGATCACATATATCGCTAACAAATTGTAATATGAAGTTGGTTAGTTACGATTGTTTCAGTGACGGATTTAATTGTACTTGAAGTTATAATTCACTGTTTATCTTCAATAGGCAACTTTTAAAATAAAGTATACCATTACACAAAGTTATGTTGGTATTTCAACCAGTTCCTAGTTATTCTATTGAGTACCCTACACTCTAAATTGTCTTCGGAAGATATAAACTTTATTCAAAGTTACTGCGTTGTTTAGTAAAACGAAAATCCCATAGGAGTTGAGTAACTCTTATAACTTGTGGCCTGTGTGCCCTGTCAATGCATAAGGTAATGATACCGCCAATTAGAGAACAGTAGTTTATCGATCGGACCGATGACGCATAAACACGTACGAGCAGTCTAGAGTCCTTATTAGTCCTGCTTCCTGCTTAGCTCAGCTAGTTAATTCCAGAACACCAATCTCAGCCTCTGCAATATGAATCATTTATTTCAAACATACGGGGTTTATATACCAATCAAACAGACCACATTGTACCATAAAATAGAAAACAGCATTTGTACAAGAAACTAATTAATTTTAGTAATGAGATGGTGGAGAAGATTTGTAGGTCAGGTCGATGATTTCGATAGAGTTTTATTCTCTAAGTTGAATAGTTTGATCATGAAGCTTTCTTATTGTTATCCATGATTAAATCATCCAGTTTAGAGAATAAAACTTTATCAAAATTGTAATAATCCTAAACATCAATGAGAAGATTCAAACAACTAAACATAAATTGAATAAGAATGTAAATGTTTACAAGAATATATATTTCACTAGTTGAAATCATGAGTTAATTGAAGATAGACCACCATGGAAATCTTAGGAACACTGGATGACCGTAGTGGGACGAAACGATCGTCCAGTACTTCCAGGTTTTCCATGGTGGTCTAGCTTCAATTAACTCATGATTTCAACTAGTGAAATTTCTAAAATCTCCACAAAACCCCTTCTCGTAAGAATATATATATATATATATATATATATATATATATATATATCTTTTTACAGATATGTACATGTAATTATCATCATTAATTCATTAGTTAGAATAGTTTTCTTTTATCAGGTGACAAGATATCATTTGTATATGATTCCTGTTTAAGTAATATATCAGTTACATTATTTAAACAAGTTTGTAATGATTTTGTTTGTTCATCGGATCCAGTAACAATAGTATTATTATCACTATTATTATTATCATTACTATTATTATTATTACTGGACTGATGATGAATAGACATAATCATTGAATGAATTTGTAATAACAATTCTGGACATCCATAAACAGTGGCTGCAGAACGAAGTCGATTTAATTCCTATAAAGAAAATGAAGAAAAAAACAACAACATCGGATTGAACATTGAAAATTTGAAGTACTCGTAAAACTGTGAATGTTGGTACTTTTAATTATTTTAAATTTGTTTTTTATGTAGTTGTTGGTACACAAAGTCAATAGTTTCCGTTAAAAAGTACATTGGTGAACAGGGAAATAACATCTAGAGATATCATCCGTTTCCAATTTAAGTTCATATGTTCCACTTTAGAAATGAAATCTAAGATGTCTTTCACGCTTCTGTTGACAACTAGTTTGTGTAAGGGGTCTAGAATTCGATCTAAGCACTGGGCGAAGAGGAAGACAGCCAATCTACTCACCACTTTCCTTTTTGTCGCAGTCTGTGCCCCGTTCCTCGTCGAAATGTTTAGTACATCGGCGCGCTGACCTGAACGGTGATGAAAGACTCAATTAACCCTAATCAGATTCAAAATTATGTGCTTAGTTCACAATAACTGTACCTAATTAATCATTACCAGCAGGCAGGCTAAACGATTTCATTTAATTATTCTTCAAAAAATTACTCAATGAATTAAAACAACGAATTTACTTACTTTATAAAGTAATGCAGATTTTTCCGGCAGGCGCCGACTTAATCGAAGCACTTTATTAATATCCATAAGCATTGCTGACTGTGATGCCCAAGAAACATAACGTGAACCATCTTTATTAAGACATTTTTTTGAAAAGAAAAAAGAGTTAAGAACGAACCCCCTAATCATTATTATCACTATAAATTAGATAAACTGTTAAATGAGAAATGGGTGATAGAAATGAAAGTTAGATAAGGAGTGTTGAGGAGATCCTCAAATAAAGCTTAGAGGGGTCCTGAAAACGTTAGGAAACATTTTATTCAATCAGCATCCAATAGAAGTTCCTCAGAAACATCTAGAGAGTGAAGAGTCACGTGTCACACTTCTGATTGGGTGGTCTCCCATCTTGTTACTATGTTCGGTAGGGTTCCAGAACCTTCCAGAAGCCAAAGGCCATCCTAAATGCTATAAATACCCTCGATTTTTTGTACGTAAACTAAGCTTGGAGTAAAGCGTTCTTCATACACTTCTGCCTTTTCTTTCGTGTTCGATTTGCCGTTAAGATTTAGCCTGGTGTTATTGGAAGACCTTAGGAAATAGGTTCAAGCGTTCAGTCATAAGATTTATGAAGGAGCTAGAGTGAATTCAAGTTATTCGGTATTTTGTTGGTAAATATCAATTGCTTTCCTGTGATGATAACTGAAATAACACGTTTTTCTAAACCATATTTGTATAAGGAGGGTTGTTTGTGGAGATTATAGATTTTAGCTAGACATCACCATTAAAAAACTGGGAAGCACTGGACGGCTGTTTCATCCTAGTATGAGACTACTCAATACTCCTCACCCACGATTCCGCATCCGAGAATTTCGGACATGCTCTGCTGAGAATTTCCACACTAGGATGAAACGCACGTCCAAGGATGATCTTTTTTTTCGTACTGGTTGTTGACACCGTTAGTTTGCAAATTTTCCTGTCTCGAAGTAATATATATATATATATATATATATATATATATATATATATATATATATATAGAGAGAGAGAGAGAGAGAGAGTTCCTCTACTTCAATTTCTTTGTTGAATTTCAGATATTTTCCTCACTCTCGACTTTTTTATGAGTCTTCGGCTTTTAGAGATTATTGTTAAAATGTTATGTATGTCAGTTGCTGTATTGTCAAGAGCGCAATAAATTTCATTGTAATAAAACAATCTTAATTATTCGTAATCCGAAATTACTGTAGGTCAGACTGAACCTAATTTCGAAGTAGTTTCCAGAAGCTTAACATTAGACGAGTCAGAAAAATCACTATTTTAAACCGAGTTGTGTAGACTAGTTTTCAGGATGTCAAAGAAGCAAATTGTGTACAAATCGAACATGGACACCAGTTATAAGTTAGATGAACTGAAGGGGCTGATGCTATGTCAAGCCCATATAAGTTATACTAGCCTCTGGACAAATCAATCTATTCATTCTGCTCAAGACACATTTTTACTCTGTCACTTATTCGCTTATCAACCTTGACTGTTTTCATGTAAGCGTATATGTGTGCTTTTCTTATCTTACTCATCATATGTCTGTAACTTATTTTTGTCTGACTATAAATACTGATTCACACTTGGCTACATTGAGTTGGTTCACTCGCCCTCTCCATTGTGCGTCCTTTCGTTTCGCTCTGCTCTCTCCACTTCACTACGATTTTCTGATTGCCTGTTCGAATCAACGATTGTATGAAATATACGTATTCAAAAATTCATTCTCGTATTTGACTTATCTTAATTCCGTTATTCACTAACGCCAGCTAAGTCGATAATTATATACGAGGATTGGCGGAATATAGATATTTCGATAACAAGTAGCAAATAATCTACCTGGAGTCAGATCTCGAGCCACTAAAGATAGCATATGTAGGTGTTATAATAGCAACCCAGTTCAATGAGTTTTGCGAGTGTTTAAACAATTGATCTGTACAATAGATATATAGGATTGTTAGTCAACTCCTAGCTTATCTATAATTGTCCATATTCATATCACACAAATCTGATTAGCCATTGCATAATACAGATTGAAAGAAAAATAAGCCAGAGGAATGATTAAAAAAAACGGTGTAAATACATACCAATTTTATAACTCAAATGATCCGGTGTTCGAACAGGGAATGGTGAAGTTTCATTTTTATCATCGTATAATTGAGAACCGGCAAAATCTGTTACAGGTGCTAAATGACTAAAATTACCAAGCCAAGGTAAACCAGTACATTCTGAAATAAAAACAAAAAACCATTGGAAAATGAAACAGTTCAAAAGCAGAAAAAAACATCAATCAATTAATTGCTGGGGGATACAAATTCGTTATTTCATATATTGATTTAAAATGATATTTGTCTAGTCAACTTTCAAAGCATTTTCGTGATTTATATGCATTAACTTTAAGTGTATATCGATTGTATCTAGTTGTTTGATTTTCCTTATAATGATAATTTCACTACGATTTCCCATTCAGTGACAATCGTTTAGTTTGATAACATTCTGCAATAAATATGACTGAATTAAAGTGGATATTGGAAGTAGTCGACAAAATACCCTACTTGACCTAGGTTTTGCACTATTTGAGACGTGGTGCCAAGGTGTGCTTGTAATCCTGAGGGAACTAGTGCTTCCTGATGGATTCGATCCCGTATCACCCAGCTTTACAGTCACAGACATTACTACTCAACTCTTTGGGCTACGACTGATCTAAGACTTATTTAAAATAATTGATCACTGAGCAGTGACTAATTCATTCATATGGCTAAATAGTATTTTAGCTGATGTCAGTTCGTAATGAAGACTGTAACTCTTATTCCTAACATTAACTTCGAACTATAAACGCCAATTCTGATTTCTCATACTATTTTATAACCCACTTTAGACCGTAGTGGGTTAGTGAATTTTCCCAGGGTCACTTCGGTCGTTCGTAAATTATGGTCTCAACCTTCATGTATTCTGATTTCTGCTTGAAATCCAGATGTGGAAAACTTTTGAGGACTGTGAAGAGGTTAAAAAGTCGATCAATGTCGAAGCGTTTAAATATTAGACGTATCAAATTAGTTGGATTAAAACAAATGATAACCGATTGAATTAAACAAGAGAAAAATTAAAAGATTATACACCAGCTGAAATCGTTTACTAAAAACTGCCCCACCACCCTTAATAACAACAACAAACCTCGTTCAAATACTGACAACATTAAAATTGATTGCTTCATATCAATATGATGCAAATAACCATGACTCCAAAGAGTATGATTCGGTGAATTTTTACCAGACTGTTGTTGTTGAAGATTACGTTTAGATGAATTGTGTGAATCCAACACTGAAACTGTACTTGAATTGATCGACTGAGTTAATTGATTATTCATTACAATATAAATATTACACATGGCAACAGTTTTTGTATTTTGTAATGATCGCAAAAGCAGGTAGAGAAGATCAGGATCAGATGGATCTAGTAAAATCAATATTGTGTAAGTGATAAGAGACAAGAATTTTAGAATAATAATAGTAATAATAATAATAACAGCAATAGTAAGAGTGATAATACTAATGAAACAATTATATATTTTTGATGCTATGGCAAGAATATGCAATAACGACGACCTTTAGTGACTTTAGGGATGGTCTTGAACAACAACCAGTCAGAATCCAGCCAAATGCAAAAGAATGTCGAAATCACCGAGATTTAGAAGCATTGATATGATCAATGAATCTGAAAACTTCCAAACTCTAGAACTCCTAGACCTTAAATCTATACAGTACTGTTACCACTACATTGCAAAAACACGAGTTATATCTGCTAGAGTTGAAGCAGTCGTGACTTGGGTTCCGATAATCTGTTTAAACATTACAACCATTATTTTCTAGAGTGACAGATTTGACTCAGCAAAGAATGTACCATGTTTTATAGATTTCTTTGACCAGCATCCTCTGCAGCGTAAAATATCATCATCCCTTGAGTCTTCAATCTCTAAACATCTCATTTTCTTACCACAATCAAATAAAACACTGTTTCTCAGAAGACGTATCGCCTGCAAGTTCTGTACCATTGAATCGCCTTCTAAACCGGCCTTAATGTGTAAACGTATCAACATTATCTGTACCAGTAACAGGTTATCTGCGACTGCGTTATAAAAATCATGTATAAACCTAGAAACGCTAGCTTTAATTCTGATTTAGTTTACTGAAAGTCGTCGGTATAATATAGTCTTATCAATACTATCTCAATGAGTAGATATTTGAGCTTGTAACGTAGTGTAAGGCACTTCTTCAGAGTGAAAATAAATAAGTGAATTAAATTAACACAAGTAGTCAGTATTCTCTAATGAATTAACTTTCCCATGTGAATACGCTTATACATATATACGGAAACAAAATGTTCTCTGATTAAACAGTAATAATAAATTGGATGAACTATCATGAATTGAAATAGAAGACAATAGGCAGAAGGAATCTATATTTATGATGAGAAGTTATAAAGAGTAAAACATATACATGACCTTCAAAAATTTATTTGCATCTTTCGGTGTTTTGCAATCTAAACTATCTTCTCGTTTAGTCTCCAAGTGTTCTGCTAATCCCATGTTTACGCTGTATTGAAACTCATCACTTTGTCCGACAACTTCGAGGCCATGTTCCGCAACATACTATTTACAAGTAATCTTTTAAGTAGCGTCCACTACAGGATTAGTAATATAGTCCTAATATACTGTCATAAAACAACAGGTATGACATCCTTAAATCCATACAGAATTAAAGCTTCCTATAAAAATGCTTTACTTCAAAGAAGAAAGATAAAATCCTTCATTACTTCGACACAGAATTATGTCAACAAACTAGGATATATGTATATATATAGCAACGGATTTTGTATTGAAGTCTTCCAAAGAAATCATGACTCGTGCTAAAGAATATATAAGCTACACTAAAAGATCTCCAAATAATCATGTAGACCTAGAAAAGCTACAAATCACTGAATACCTAGTCTGAATATTTTGAACCTCTTATTTATTTTCCTCATGATGAAGTTATTGAAAACAATTGTTCGCTCAAATATTCTTCATTTTTGAATATCGAAATAACTCAAAATGGATTTTTTTTTAATTATAAGGAAGAACAACTGGCTGAATATTTCCATATATTGCTAGATACTAACCGCACCTAATAAGAAGGGAGATGTAATGATCTATCATCTAACATAGATGATTTATCTAAATATCCACACATTTAATCCTGTTCACATTGCTAAAAAACACATATATATACACAGAATCACCTTATCCGGAATGACATGTCATTAACATGATCAAACTGATTTTGATTGTACTAAAAATTTTTTTTTTCTCTCTGTATTTTTTGTACAATCTAAACTTATGTTAATGTAGTTCATTTATTTATTTTCAGTTTTTTTGAAAAAGTGGCTTATACTAAGTCATGAAATGTCAGAAGCTCAAATTTCTACTCATTCGGATAGCATAGGAAATATATCATTATTTCATAGCAAACATTCTACTCAACACCTGCTTCGACAGGGCGATGTTATCTGGTATAGTAGCGGGCAAAGCAAAACATCACACCAGTTCATGAAGTTATTGACAATTGAACCGACCTATGTTAATGAGTGTAAACTGCCTGGTTGGGTTCCGCATGATCATATGAACCAGTAGTTAGAGATTTTGAATGACATGGCTTATAATCATTTTGAACAGCACTTTTTTATCCTCTCTCAGATTTTAAATTTATGTCATATCTTCCATACCTAATACTTCTTATTACTATTAATACTGTTACTGACTCTACTATTCTGAGATTTGGCCTGACAATGTTATCTCTCAGTGTTAGCGGGGTATGACAACTTAAACCGATATACATACGTACCACATTCTACGTTGCGACTAACTAATTGACAATGCTCAGTTTATTGGAAATTATAAAGTCCAACACTGGTATTGATACGAATAATAATAATAATAATAATAATAATAATAATAATAATAATAATAGCTAACCACAATAAAAAATAAACGAATGTTTAATAGGAGCTTTTGCCTCAGTAAATCTACAGTTATTATACATTTAGTATCTTAAATGAGATAGAATCCACTACTAACAAACACCACCATTGAATGTCACTTAAAAATACTTAGAAAATTCCCACTGCGTAAAAAATAAAGCAGAATTTTACAAATGACTGAAATCAGAACTACTGTTGTAATTTTATCCACCGATTATTATTAGTAGTAGTAGTAGTATTATTGGTATTAGCATTACTGATTTATAACGAGTAATATGCTGAAATTGTACTTGTATTTAATAGGAAGGATACCTCTAAACAGTTGGATTTGGAATCCAGAACTTTTTTAATCTCGATCTATGAGATGATATTTGAGTTTAACGCCCACCATTCAGTCCCAGACTGGTTATTACTTTGAACCTACCTACCTTTGAAACTACCAATTATGGGATTGTACAAGTTACACAAACATAACTAACGCTTGTTATTGGGTTTATTTTGTTGTCCATGCCATTGTTCAGTATACATATATTTATTGTTCTCTTTGTAATTGATTTTGTTATTTCGCATTTTTTTGTACTAATTAGATTCATTTGTTGACTATATACATAGTTACCTGTTTTGACTTTAGCCCTGATAAGATTCTATGTACAACATTATAGGGGACTTATTCAAGACATTTATCTGTAGGCAAAAATTAAATCCTACAATTATTATTATCACTCACCCTACACACGAGTAAAGTATCTAATAATACTAGACTATAGAAGCAGACATGATAGAGCATGAGATTTGTACATTCTAATTTAGACTAATGTTTTAGTTAATTATTGTAACAGAGAGAGTATTGAAAAAGTTGAGCAATGCGTAACTCATATTTCTATTGTATAATTATTACATAAACCGACTATTATATTCTATATTCTCTGGATTGTAAGCTTTTATTAAACCCCTTAACTGTGACTATACGCCTTACTATTCCTTAAACCTTTGTCTCGTTCTCTATCATTTATGGCTTGATTATGTATAGAAGAGAACTCCCGATTTCGGGTGTGTCGTGGTCTAATAATTCATGTATATAAAGTTATGAGTGAGTTTGAGTTATGATGAGTACCTATTATTATTATTACTATTATTATTATTATTATCATAAGCTTTATTCAACATTATATTTTCGGTACAATATTGAATTCGCAGCATAAAGTAATTCATCAGGTTTCCCTTTGTTAAATCTTGATCGATCCTGACGATACATATTGAGTGATGGCCAGTTGGATGTTAGGAGTTCGATAATCGGCATATGAATAATGTTCATTCGTTTCAATGCATATTATAAGCCACCATGATGTCGCTGGTTGTACCTTTTTGTAATCCGTACAGCAAAAGGTTGTAAACTTTTCGTAAACGCGCCTGAATAGGTTGTGAGCTCAATAGACATAATAGTGCGTTAAAACAAACAAGAAAACAGATAACTTGACAAAATATCTAGATGGGAGGAACAGGTAGCCCAGATATTCAAGCAAGCCAACTTCATCTTTTGATTGGTCACTTACATATTAGAGGAGCTGAATGGACCAACAGGAGTTAAGATGTCCAGTTACTGAATTCTACTGGTAAAATGGAAAACTACTTGACCGATTGACATAGGTGAATCCGTAATTAGTGGATACTATAATCAAGTGACCCGATAAAACGGACAAATAAGACTGTTTAAAGCAATTAGTCCCTTTTATAAATTTCGATAGAACAATGAGAAGACGGAGTTGATCTGAAAAATGTGATGTATTTGCGCTATACATTTCGAACAATCTGGTCACACATATACTTGTCAGGGCATTTTATATGAAAATTAATAAAGGTCAATTACATGAAAGTTAAAGTACAAACAAAAATAACAGAGGGGAAATTGTCGCATTATCCTAGGCCATAGAATGACTCAAGGATTACCAAGGTAAATTCAAGGTTACGACAAATTGTTTTTGTGCACATAAAGGGGGCTTAAATTTACGAATAGCCAAGGCTTCTATAAACTTAAGAATTCGTCCTTGACAATTTCTATACAACGTTTTAAAAGCTGCATTAATATCAATTTTGTGCCCCGTTTCAATTATATGTTTCGCTATCGATGACCCTGGTTTTCTACCACCCACGTTGATCGGATCGTTTGACACACATTGATTTTGAAGCCATTTAGGCACATGTTCATTGACCCTTGATTGCATTGTTCGATTACTCCTCCCTATGTATGTGTGTCCACACAAACATGTAAATTGGTAAATACAATGGGATGTGACGTAATCATTGGTGCATTGTCTGGGTGTACTAGGAATCATGGCCTTGGACTTTTCAATCACAATCAATTGAGCAGCATAATAGGTGTTCTCGATCGCTGCTTTCAATCTCTGTCTTAAAACTATGCTATTAGATTCACCTCTATATGATAGATTGATGTAAACTTTTTTCTTTGGGACCGAATAAACAAGAGGTCTTGGTATTAACTGACTTTTGCACCTATTAATAAAATTTAATGGATAACCATTTGCTATTAATGTGTCAGTCAGTAACTTTTCATCTTTTTCCACCGTGTCAGATGTACAAATCCTTTGAGTTCTTTTAAAGAGACACTTAACCAAGCCTCGCTTGTATTGCAATGGACAAAAACTATGGAAATTTAAGTATTGTCCCGTCCAGGTAGGTTTCCTATACACTGACCGTCTAATAGTACCATCCTCCCTTCGACTTAAAAGTATGTCTAAAAAAGCCAATTTGCCATTACTTTCTGCTTCATGTGTCATCACGATATCATCTTGAACACTATTGAGTTTATCCAATAATCCGTAAACGTCAAAGTCTTTAGCACATATAATTAGAATATCGTCCATGTATCTTCTATATAGAGTTACCTCACTAATAAGCTCACTCGTCCTGTTTTCTACATATGACATAAATACATCAGCTAGGAGAGGCCCCAAAGGGCTACCCATAGCTACACCATCAACTTGCCGAAAATATTCACAATCGAACGTGAATTGAACATTAGCAGTACATAACAAAAGTAATTCTTTCAACAATGATAACGGAATAGGAAAAAGCGAAAATTTTTTAGAAATATAGTCACAAAGGAAATCCACCGTCTTTGTTAACGGAACTCCGTCTTCTCATTGTTCTATCGAAATTTATAAAAGGGACTAATTGCTTTAAATTCTTGAAAAGAAGACTCCCTTCGTCTTGCATTAAACGGTTAGATGAACTTGCTAATCTGAAGTGCAAAATTGCATCTGAAAAGATAAAACTGGGGTTTTACAAGACTTGCATTATTACACACACATTTCCAAGGCAGTTTTATAAATCTTTGCGATCCAATAAGTTGCATCCAAATGTTTCTAATCTTTTACGGCTTGCGAAATCTCATAAAGAAAAATGTAATGATATGATAAATAAGCTAATCGAACTTCATACTCAGGCATCATGTGTATTATCGAATATTTCTCTTATATGTCATATTTAATTTATGAATTTTTGCAGTACAATGGTGGCTAAAACAAATTATACCACTAAACAAAAGCTAAGTAAATCTCTTATGGATGATAATGATGGAAATACATTTCAATTTAAACCTGATAAATATGTAACAAATCTATCAAGTGTTAGACTTTCTGTATTTGAAAAAGAAGCCCTATCTCTCGGATTTAATTTCTCTGTTGCACATACCAAGATTTCTGATCTATCCATAGATGCTCAATTCGAAAATCTCTATGATCAGTTGAACCCTCTAGTCCCAACCACCCTAGATAGGAAAAATTGGTTAAAGGTGAAATTGGTTGATGTTGCCCACCACTTTCACGGATCTCAAATCAGACAAAGGAGTATTTTAACTTCTAAACATTTCGCCGCGTTAAACAACCTTCGAAGCAGGTCAGATATTGTGATCCTCAGACCTGACAAAGGTTCAGGAGTAGTCGTTATAAATAAATGTGAATATAAAGAAAAAATGCTATCTATACTGGGTGACGAGAGTAAATTCTTACCGGACGTTTTATCCAATATTAATGTTAGAAAATTGGAATCCAGAGTGAAATCCAATCTATTAAAGCTTCTTAAAATGAACGTCATAAACACTGAGGAGTTTAATGTATTAAAACCTTCGGGTTCTGTTCTCCCGAATTTATATGGACTACCTAAAGTTCATAAACCTAATATTCCATTACGACCAATTTTATCTATGCGCGGTTCACCCACACATGAGCTAGCTAAATGGCTTGTAAAATTGTTAAACCCAATTCGTATTAAACTATGTAAGTTTTCCTTAAAAGATACATTTGAACTGATTGATCTTCTTGGGGACATTAATATTAAAGATAAGTCTTTGTATTCTTTTGATGTTCCGTTAACAAAGACGGTGGATTTCCTTTGTGACTATATTTCTAAAAATTTTTCCCTTTTTCCTATTCCGTTATCATTGTTGAAAGAATTACTTTTGTTATGTACTGCTAATGTTCAATTCACGTTCGATGGTGAATATTTTCGGCAAGTTGATGGTGTAGCTATGGGTAGCCCTTTGGGGCCTCTCCTAGCTGATGTATTTATGTCATATGTAGAAAACAGGACGAGTGAGCTTATTAGTGAGGTAACTCTATATAGAAGATACATGGACGATATTCTAATTATATGTGCTAAAGACTTTGACGTTTACGGATTATTGGATAAACTCAATAGTGTTCAAGATGATATCGTGATGACACATGAAGCAGAAAGTAATGGCAAATTGGCTTTTTTAGACATACTTTTAAGTCGAAGGGATGATGGTACTATTAGACGGTCAGTGTATAGGAAACCTACCTGGACGGGACAATACTTAAATTTCCATAGTTTTTGTCCATTGCAATACAAGCGAGGCTTGGTTAAGCGTCTCTTTAAAAGAACTCAAAGGATTTGTACATCTGACACGGTGGAAAAAGATGAAAAGTTACTGACTGACACATTAATAGCAAATGGTTATCCATTAAATTTTATTAATAGGTGCAAAAGTCAGTTAATACCAAGACCTCTTGTTTATTCGGTTCCAAAGAAAAAAGTTTACATCAATCTATCATATAGAGGTGAATCTAATAGCATAGTTTTAAGACAGAGATTGAAAGCAGCGATCGAGAACACCTATTATGCTGCTCAATTGATTGTGATTGAAAAGTCCAAGGCCATGATTCCTAGTACACCCAGACAATGCACCAATGATTACGTCACATCCCATTGTATTTACCAATTTACATGTTTGTGTGGACACACATACATAGGGAGGAGTAATCGAACAATGCAATCAAGGGTCAATGAACATGTGCCTAAATGGCTTCAAAATCAATGTGTGTCAAACGATCCGATCAACGTGGGTGGTAGAAAACCAGGGTCATCGATAGCGAAACATATAATTGAAACGGGGCACAAAATTGATATTAATGCAGCTTTTAAAACGTTGTATAGAAATTGTCAAGGACGAATTCTTAAGTTTATAGAAGCCTTGGCTATTCGTAAATTTAAGCCCCCTTTATGTGCACAAAAACAATTTGTCGTAACCTTGAATTTACCTTGGTAATCCTTGAGTCATTCTATGGCCTAGGATAATGCGACAATTTCCCCTTTGTTATTTTTGTTTGTACTTTAACTTTCATGTAATTGACCTTTATTAATTTTCATATAAAATGCCCTGACAAGTATATGTGTGACCAGATTGTTCGAAATGTATAGCGCAAATACATCACATTTTTCAGATCAACTCCGTCTTCTCATTGTTCTATCGAAATAAGACTGTACTAAAAAGGAATCAAACTGTAACACAACCCAATGATGTGGAACATACATACTAAAATGATAAATCACCTGTTCGACTAACCACTGTAAAACGTCCATTTACTGGTGGATTGTTTAAATCGCTGAGATTAAGGAAACCGAAGATCTCCACACAAAGTGAATTTTTTGCCAAATCATTCAATCTATCAATGATAACAATATTTAAATATAGTAATAAATTAAATTATAATATCAATCTTTGGAATAAATGCAACTTATCAGTCTAGGTGAGTGAGTATCGTAGGAAAACTTCAACACAGACACATAATATCTGCCGAACTTTTTCAAAAATAACATTTTGTGGTCTAAGGACTCAATGTTGAACCACATTGTTTATGCAACGACAAGCGATACTATCGAACATCACAAATAAGAATTAGACGTAGGAGGTTTTTAAATCTGTGACTAACTGCTGATTGAAAACCGAATGTTTCAACCATCACTCGCCCCATGAACTAGTTTAAAACCTTCAAATAAGTGAGTCATATTTCCACATACGCTCCCCAAATTAAGTGAATATCACTGGTTTATCTAATAAATACCTGAATAACCACACTGGTGAATTACTTGTTGTGCATACATTATTTATTCATTTGACCAATTATTTTATTCATGTATTTATATTATCAATATCATATGAATAATCTACAGAGATACTGATATCAGTATTACAACGTACAATAATTGCACTCTCTGGTTTAACAAATAATATATTAACCTTAAATAGCGATTTAGTCATCAATTCAAAATTGTAGACATCATTGAAATTTTATTTAAATCACAAACCGATCATAGTTAGGCAACCATTGAAAACCTGAAAGCAATAGACACCTATTTAGTCTTAGTATAGAACTCCTAAACAGTGGCCATCCAAAACCCTTTCACTGAGGAACGAACCCAAGAAATTTAGTATCCTCATGCAAACGTTTAACGACTAAACTCCTTTAATTAATCTGCCATATTGCGCGACCAGCTCCCATTGTTTTCGGCGGATACCTTACTTAAATCCAATATGGTCGTGAATGTGCACTGCCGAAGAATCCCAGTGCTTTGAAGTTCTCAACAGTTGTCTGAGATTAGTTTGCGATTTTAATAAAACTCAACAATCTTCACAAATTTCATAAGTGATAGTCATTCGAATGATATATGACGTAAGAAAAGATAAATTAAAAACAGTTACCTACTCAGTGAATGAATGAACACCTGGAGATGGTAATAAAACTGCCATACTTTGAAGACGTCCACAATTGATAATTACACTTGGAATTACTTGATTCGGTTGACAATATTCAATAATATGTTTAGCTAAATTATCTATATATAATTCGACAGTATATGCTATTTATAGAAAACAAAAAAAAGTGAATAACGCTGAACAATTGAATAAAGAACAAACTTTCAAGATTTGAAACGTATTTGTTAGCTTCGAAAATTATTGATTTCAAGTGAAATTGATTATGTAACTCCATTAGATCGTTAGATAACTAAAACAAACAAAACAAAACAAAACATCCAGAGAATCTTGATAATATCAGTAACTATAAATGAAGTGAAAAGATAAGTTTTATACATACAAACATTGAAGGGCTATAAACAAAGCACAGGTAAAATTATCACAGAAATTATGTTGAATGATTAGATTGGATTGTGTGTATAAGATTACATTTTATTATGTGTTGGGGGCATTAGATCGCTAGAACTCACTTGGAAAAGAACCTAATTTTGTAATTTTATTTAGAAAATTTGAATTTCTTTGTTTTCGCGCCAAAGACGCTCTTGTCACCTTCATTTCCCACTGGGTAATATCTTAAATGATATTGGTCCGTTGCATCTTTTAGTATGCTATTTGGTAACTCTCCCCAAGGACGGTTTTGTACTGTATATATACTTTTTGAATTGTGTTTGTTGTTATCGCTCGTTTCTGGCTGTTTGTAGAATATACTTCCCCATTCTAAGCTTGAACTTCTTTCTCTAGTTAGCGGGGCTGGGACGCATCAAATAGCTAGTTTGTTGGTCTTTAGTCACCGAGTCTTTAATCTCGTTCGCAGATTAAGTGAACTCGTGATAGCTTCAAACCTAGCATTATGTGTACTCTTAAACACTCCAAACTTCTTAGTAGGTCTTTAGTAATTTTCTATTGTTGAATCCCAGGAAAAAAACAAAATGCGAAAGGCAGAGAAGCTTTATTTTTAGGGTTAGTTCATTTGCAAAACAACAACAAGCTTATTTATAGGATTAAATGTGATTTTGGAAGTTTTAGAAGTTTCTCTAACAAACCAATAATTGTCTAATCAATCAGCATAATGGAAAAATAATACATCATTAGCTAGAATTCATTTAGGAGTTAGTCAAGGTATTCTCACAGTTTTCCTGGCTTTTGAAAAATTTTTGAAAGAACTATCGAAAGGTTACAACAATATATACATAAATCCATAAGAAAAGTGTTTTATCAGTTCATAAGAATTTTTCATGTTATTGTTGAATACCGACGAAGATAGTTGTGGAAGATTTGTTAAATTAGCTACACTGGGCTTATGCTTGGATAGTCGAAATTGATTGACACTGAGTTTCAAATGCCCTGGTACGGTCGAGGGTGGCGAGAATCAGCTCTCCTTCTCCAAATGCTCTCACATAGCCACATGTATACAGCCACTACCAAGGAAGTCCTACTCACTGTCTTTACGCCGCGGCTGTGTTTATGAAATTGAAAGAATGAAAGGCGAATGTCTGGTGATTTAACCGGGTTGGTGGACACAGCGAATATATCTAGGGGAGTTGGAAAACCCTGATTCCAAAACAATAGTGCACAAGGGTTCCAGGATCCTGAAGGAACAAATAAGTTATAAGCCTATTGTTGAGTACCGTCTACCATGGGATCACATCTAACATTGTCTCAATGCTTTGTGAATTAGACCTCTAGGTCAAAAGCTCCGGATGTGGTCCACTAAGAAAGCTATCTGCTTAGGTTTGGGTATAACCGCACAGTATCCCTGCTCTCATACTTAATAATAACTAATCTGTGTAGTGCATATACATTTTGATGCACCTTTGTACCAATATATATATTCAAACAAATTAATTAATTTGATGCCAAACTCATTTAATGGTACACCTTTATCATTAAGCGTAATTGAGACAGATGGACGTTAAAGTTGAACTCCTCCATCAGGATAAAATTAAAATAAACATCAATATTCAACAAGAATGTAGGAATAAGGCGTTCAATGTTGGGAATTGAAAAAATCATCTAATAATCTTTTAGCACAATATTTATGTGAATCTCGAATCACAATAACTTAAGTGTCAAAGTTATTTTAATGAACTTCAATGTTTAGCAAAATATTAACAAGTAGATCAATGTCTCAGAATAGGAGACTAGGAAGCCGGGGCTCAAATCCTACAGGAAAAATCAGTAGACTTAGGAATCCAAGCGTACGTTTGCTGACGGACGTCAAATACTATAAAACTTGGGTCTAGAGTTTCCTGTTGACTACCTCCAACTTACCACCTAACATTTCAACATAATACACAAGATATTGAGTCATTGAGACTAGTTGCCAAACAGTAACTTGATCAATAGAATTCAATTTGCACTAAGAACTACACAAACATGATATTGGCCAGTACTCAGTGAATACTATACATAAGGAAATAATTTATAAAGCTTAGAAACAGAAAAAAAAAATGATAGTCCCGAATCATTAAGTCGCTTCATCATAAATTTGTCAAGAATTATATACATGTATATATCAATTGAAGAAGTTCCACTCACCTGTTTATCACTCAAACTAATGAACAAAATTGAAGTATCATTAAATAGACTTTTAGGAAAATCTACTGGGTAAATAAGAGAGGAATAAGTGAAGTAAGAAGATCCTCCATCTGTAAATAATAAAACCTGAAGGATATAATAAAAACAAAACAAAAATTTAACTTCATAAATTGAATATTCATCAAAATAATAACAAATAATCTATGTACTATTAATATTGTGCAATAATCGCAGTCATAATAATAATAATTATTATTTTTATTATAATGATCCATTAAAATAATCACATTTAACTTGAATTTAGATTAATTTAATGAATTCCAAAATCTGATCCAAACCAAGCTACCAGTAATATGTTATCTGTGACTCTAAAGACAATTATAGAACCATAAGCAACGTCGAGCTTGGAATGCATGTGCATCAGCCAAAGATATCATACCACATTAGCACAGTGAGTTGGAATAGCTAAGGCAAGTGCCACTGACGTTGACATATATAAATAGTACGTAGCACCAATAAGGAGTGGAATGTCTGGCGGCAGAAGTTTAAGAAGATGGAGGAGAAGAGAACGAGAACAGAGAGTGATTGGTATGGAAATGAAGGAGCTATGTCTGATAACGTCTCTCTAGGACCCCAATCACGGAATCATGAAGGTCCAACAGAAGCCAGTCCTGTACAGCTTTCTTCCAAACCACAACACCTTGTCATACACTGACTACCTCTCCGCTTTTTCCAACCAGTCCCAGAGTCGCAAATAATGCACGAAGTGGGATTCTCTAGGAAAGCATTCGTAGAACATGTCCAAGCCACCAAAGTCGATGTTTCAAGATGGTAACATCAACCGAATAATCGTTGCTGTAACCAAACATACGATGCAGAACCTCTGTATTACTAACATAGCGTTGCCACTGGATGTCAAAAATCCTTCGGAAACAACGATGATCAAATACAGAGTCGTCTAACACATGCAACAAGAAAAGGCCAGGTCTCACAAGCATTGAATAAAACTGCTCTCATCGACGCGTTGTAGACCCGACATTTTGCAGACAGACTAACATCAATAAGGCGCCCAACATGGTCCAGGTTGGCATAAGTCGTTCTGCGTTTCGCTACACGTGAATTGATTGCATCACTCACTCACGCCAACGCCAGCATTGATGCAGCAAGCAAGATACACAAACTTCTCGACTACTTCTATTTGCTCACGACCCGAAGTTAGAGCAGCATCAAGGTCCTTTCAGTCTTGTAAAAGTACTTTGCACTTCGAAAGTACAAAGCACATTCCGTAGCTACGGACACCGATTGCCAACTGATTAAGTGCGTTTTGAATGGCTTGTATATAGTCGCACATTAAGACAGCATCATCTCTTTGTTTGACGGAAGACAGAGAGTGTATACACCAATGCCCAGGTAGGTAGCTTAAACGAAACAGAAAGACATTTAGGTGGGTATTTTAGTATTCCGGCACAGCGAACAGATAATGGTGATCGTCTGCTGCAACTGTGCTCAGACAATCGTTTATTTTTAGCAAACACAAATTTTAAGCATAAGGAGAGACATCGTCTAAGATGGCGACCCCCTGCACCAAACCAACGATGGACTCAAATAGACCATATTGCCATCAGTCATTGTTGGAGAGGGTCGATAGAAGATTGTCACTCATTCTGGAGTACCTGCTTGGACTCCGACCATGCCCTAATACGAGCACGCATCTGCGTTCGCCTCACTGGACGCAAAAAAGCCACATTAAAAAGACCCATTAGGACTGAACTGAGTAACGAGAAAACCAAAAGTAGGTTCCAAGGACAACTGAGGTCACACTTAGGTAGTTCTGAAAACGAGGCTGACCCAGATGTTGCTTGGAAGGATATATAATCAGCTGTGGAAACAGCAGTGACATCTATTAGTAATTTAAACCACAGGGTTATAAAGAATCAATGGATTTCTTCAAGGTCTATTGCACTGATGGATTCGCGCAAACTCATCCCATTAGGTTCTGAACACGATGAAGAGCATAAACAAATCAGATCTAGGTTAAGCAAAAGTCTAAGGAACGACCGTGAGCAGTGGTGGGCAACGAAAGCAAAAAAGATGCAAAAGGCGGCGGTTATAGGGAACACAACACAACTCTACAGATTAATAAAAGAAACTGGAATTAATAAGTTAAGTGTAAGTCAGACTATTTCGGAAAAAAACGACACTCTCATCTGCTCCCAGTCCAGACGTTTAGAACTATGGGCGGAACATTTTAGAGAACAGTTCAGCTGGCCTTCAGCTACTCTACAACCACCCACCATTCCCAGACAGTGTGAATGGAACATTGAAGCAGGTCCCCCAACTCTAGCTGAAGTTTAAAAGGCTATAGTTAATCTGAAACGAGGAAGGGCAGCTGGTCCAGATGGATTGGTTCCAGAGGTCTTTAAGGATGGTGGTCTAGTTTTAGCGATTAGGTTGACTAGTATTTTAGCTAAAATCTGGGAGTTAGACGTAATCCCCTCTGACTGGTCATAATCACTTATCGTCCCAATATTTAAGAAAGGGTCGAAATCATCCTGTGACAACCATAGAGGGATTAGTTTGACTAATATAGTATCTAAAATACTAGCCTCGATAATTATCGGACGCCTAACTAAGACTCGTGAATTAAAAACACGAGAGAATCAAGCTGGCTTCAGAACTGGGCGTGGATGCATAGACCACATATTCACCATTCGTCAGGTTCTAGAACACAGGCATACTTATCGGCGTCCGACAATGGTGGTCTTCCTTGACTTAAAAGCAGCATTCGACTGTGTAGACCGAGAGGTTCTGTGGCAGTGTCTTTAATTGAAAGGCGTACCTCAGAAGTACATAAACCTTGTGAAGGCTCTTTACTCGAACACTACTAGTCGAGTCAGAGCTTATGGCGAACTGTCATATACTTTTGCAACCTCAAGTGGTGTCCGTCAAGGCTGTCCACTTTCTCCATTTTTGTTTAACTTCATCATAGATCTACTGATGGAAATAACGCTCTCATCGACTGAATTCTCCGGCATTGATCTCCTACCAGGAGGTCCACTTATCGACTTAGAATACGCAGAAGACGCTGATAAAATGCAGAGTCTTTCGGTAGCACTGAGCAACAATGCCAGAATGTTTGGGATGCGCTTCTCTCCCTCTAAATGCAATTTGTTGCTTCAGGACTGGTCTGCGTCAACACCTGAACTAAGGATAGGGAGTGAAGTAGTCGAACGCGTTGACAATTTCACTTATCTTGGAAGTCTGATCAGCCCTAATGGGTTGGTGTCTGACAAAATCTCAGCACGGATTCGAAAAGCTCGTCTGGCTTTTGCCAACTTACGTCACTTATGGCGAAGGCGAGATATCCGTCTATCAATTAAGGGACAAGTATACTGCGCGGCAGTTCGTTCCGTCCTACTATACGGCTGTGAAACATGACCTTTAAGAGTAGAAGATACTCGTAAGTTACTAGTATTTGACCACAGATGCCCTAGAAATATTGCTGGGATCACCGGGTAAGTAATAGTGAGGTTAGACACAGAGTATTAGGGAATGGATGGTAAATCAGTTGATGAGGTTATGAATCTTCATCGACTGAGATGGTTGGGCCACGTGCTGCGTATGCCTGAACACCGATTACCACGACGCGCAATGCTAACTGGCGTTAGGGATAATTGGAAGAAAGTTAGAGGCGGCCAAACCAAAACGTGGCATCAGTGCTTGAAGTCACTAACTTCTGGTCTGAGCCATGTTGGGAGATGCAGACTACCTGGTTGGGGTCCGCGTGACTATCGTAACCAATGGTTGGAGACTCTTGATGACATGGCTCAGAATCGATCACAATGGCGTTGGTGTATACACTCTCTGTCTTCTTTTAAACTAAGAGATTAAAATTGCTTCATATGTTTCTTTCTAGGAACTAATTCTTTCTTCCTGTACTATCTCCTTATATGCAATCTTTCTTCTATGTATTACCACCATATAATTAGGTACTTCTATGAATCCGGTGTTCATCTTGTTGTGCTAATGCGGTATGGCAACTTGGAACGATGCATATATGTGCCTGGTCCTACGTTGCGACTGACTAACTGACCGACTTGACATCGTGTGCGTAAGTTGAAGGCTCCAATGTGTAGTTTGGAGCAAGGTTTCAGTAGACCTGGGACAGTGTTTTGTGCACTAGAATCGTTGGCTATGGTGATACTTGATGAGGAAACCAAAAGAGGAAGTTTAGATTTAAAAGTCGATGTAGGAGGAATAATAGGAATTGAAGAGGGAGGTTGATTATGAATACAGTGGTCTTGAGTGCTGTTAGTGGTATGAGGGCGGTTATCACTTCCCGGTTGCCCACACCGTGGAAGGGTTCTTCTGTAGGTACCTGAAAAAGAAATTGGATTAGAGATTATCATAGTGACTTGAGGGCGTGACCGCAGTGCCCAAGGAACAGCTGCTTGAGGTCCGTCAAACACGGCCTTTTCATGAGTAGTTTTTGTGTTAGCTCCGTACTTATTGAGACCTTACCGCCGGAGACGGATATCCGTGGGATAAGGCGAGATGTGCATTTTTAGGGTCGACCTTTTCTAACCCTACCCCTCCTTGTGAGAAGGCAGCATCACTGTTATGCTGGTTGTCTGAAGGGAACACCTTACTGCTGTCACAACTCTGTACAGTCAGCAGCACGACTTTGCCCTCGGACCTTAGATTTACTGCTTTTAGTCTTACCGCTCTTCAACTGACCTGTCTGGCATGGTGGGACCTTGAGGAACGGTTGTTTCAGCCAGTATAGCTCAGTTGCTTCATCACAATAGGCAAGCCCGACCACCACGTCAAGGTGGCAACAACGGTCGGGTTGGACGCGATCGAAACTAGACTTACTCCCCGATGGTTGTTGCAGAAACGACGTGAACCCTTCTTAAAGATAGGCACAACAATCGACTGACTCCATGATGTTGGAACACTAATTGCTAGACCTTTGTAAATAAATCAGTCAATTCCATAAGCAGAAAGTCACCACTATCTTTAGAAAGGGCCAGAGATACGTTGTCTAGGCCTGGTGATTTATGGTGTTTCAAGAGTTGGAGTTCCTTGAGGACTCCCACGTCGTTAGGTGGACCAGTTGTTATAGACCATGGAGGTCAGGACAGTCTGATCGATGTTACTGGGACGTAGATCAGTTAAACTGTTCTTCGGAAAACTCTGCCCATCCTCCAAGACGTTGTTAAATGTTATTGATTGGCATCCCGTCATCTACACACATTGTTTCACTCACACCAGACTTCTTGCTGCCAGTGACTCGGATGAATTGAAAGAGCTTCCGGCAGTTACCAAATGCAGCTGCTGCTCCCAACTCGTCAGCACATTCCAACCAACAAACTTCTCGGCCCTTAAGCAAGCTTTTAACAATTTCGTTGCATAACAGTCTTCATTTATGATCGAACCCGCGGTTACCCGGAATAGACCAACGTGTTTCAACAAGTTGTAAAGAGCCTGTAGAAACCCAGTGTTTAAAAGCGGGACGTTTCGCGAAGCCGCAAGAGACTTTACTCGCCATTTTCCTGGTGTCATGAAATTACAACCAATGCTCATCTATACTTTTCAGTGGAATGGTTTCATTGGAACACAAGCTGCAACCAATTTACTGACATAACCGGCTGTTGATGGGGATCCGATAGATCAGTTCTGCCTCAGCCCTAGCGCCTAGTGAGACACCAACGCCAGAAAAACCGTACGAACATTCCACAGGGTCTCCAGATAAACGCACGTGAAAAGAGCTTTCTGAAGCAACAGATGGAGAGAGAATTCGTAGTACTTTACTAGTCTTGAATACGGGTCTTGGATAGACAACGGGCATAGATGTTGAGACTTTCTAAAGACATACCCAACCCTATCTGTTGTACGACCTGCCTTGGTGTGCGGATGTTGAAAGAGAACAGTTTGAATGGTATATGTGGTTTCAGGAAGACTGGTTCAATATTCGCAGTCGACAGTAGTATTCAACTTACGACCAGTCAGTGACTTGAGATCGTCTAGGTAGGACAGGGTTTCCACCATAGACAAACTGCTGTATAAGTTGAAAAATAGTATACATGAAATGAGAATAAAGAGAGGCATATAAATGGCATAGTGTAAAAGAAATGAAAACGAATGTTATCATATGATTTGTCTAAATGAACTTTGAAGCAAGAGTAATTTTTCCAGTAGAAATTATCATTGATTTGTGTGTGGGCTGTGATATTACCTGAGTGCCCAAACTAAAGCAGATAATTTTATTTTGAGACTATCCCCCGAGCCTTATACCTATATGTCTAATTCACAAAGCATTGAGACAATGTTAGGAGATGCGATCCCATTGTAGACGGTACTCAACAATAGGTTCATAAGTCATTTGTTCCTTCAGGATCCTGGAGCCCATGTGCACCATTGGTTTGAAATCAGGGTTTTCCAACTCCCCTAGATATATTCGCTGTGTCCACCAACCCGGTTAAATCACCAGACATTCGCCTTTCATTCTTTCAATTTCATAAACACAGCCGCGGCGTAAAGACAGTGAGTAGGACTTCCTTGGTAGTGGCTGTATACATGTGGCCATGTGAGAGCATTTGGAGGAGAGCTGATTCTCGCCACCCTCGACCGTGCCAGGGCATTTGGGGCCAGAAGTTATGGATATGTTGTATAAAAACCACCTAATGTGAGCTTGCTACATAAATACCAGTATGTGAAACGAAAGTGCAGCTTGTCATCTGATGACAAGTTTTTAAGTGCTTAATTGTCATCTAGCTTAAATATCTGCAATACGTAAAGTTTAACATTTAAATATATAAATATAAACATTGTATTCACTTGAATATTTGACCAAGGTCCATAGTACAGATATGCTTCTTTCAAGATGTTAAGAATTGATGTGGCTGTCAATTCACTAGGGAACATCACCTTAGCTGTCTGTTCAATGTGATCAATTGCATTATGCAAGCTAGATATATCGGAGGAAAATGCGCCAAGTGATCCCTTAGGAGACAAGCTTGTTGTGTCGCACTGTTAAAAAAAGAAATTAAAACATGTTAAATTCCCATCTATAACATTAAGAATCGAAAAAGTACTTATACAATAGTAGAGGAACAACCAAAAAGGGAGAAAAAAATCAGAACTAATGCTGAACTTTGGTAATACACTTCATAATTCTAAATAAGAACAGATATTTTTGCAAAGAAATTTTCCCTCCAACAATTTCACTTTACAAACCACACAATTTTATTTATATATTCATTGCCTAATAAGTAATCTATTTTGACTATTAGTATGAACAGATCTTATAGTTTTCATTCATTATACTCACGTATACAGATATACAAAACCCTTTTATTACATGGACTATCGTGCCGAAATAAGATTGTACAGCTTTTAGAAGTGAAGTCATCGAAGAATAAATTTCGTTAGTCAATTGTACCATTAAAAACACTGTATTACAACAGCTAAATCCGCCTGGAGTCCCTTTCCGGGGGCTACTGCCGGTCCCAAGCCTGGATAAAGGAGAAGGGTTGGGCATGGGGTTAGCGACCCCATCCCGTAGAAAACTAACTCGCTAAAATAACGCTAACCAGAAAAAATTATTCAAACTATTTAAACTCTGCCCTGGGAGTCAGGAGGTCTTCGTTTAGAAGAATTATGACGCCTCGTGATGAAAGCCACATAAACGCATACACAAAACCACATGGACTTCACCGGATCACAGCACACAGAACCAAATCGACCATATCTGCATCAACAAAAAGTTCAGGAGGACGATGGAGGACGTGAGAACAAAGAGAGGAGCTGATATAGCATCAGATCATCACTTGCTGGTCGCCAAGATGAAATTGAAACTCAAGAGGCACTGGACAACGGGGAGGACAATATCACAAAAATTTAATACGGCTCTTCTTCGGGATAATGACAAACTCAATAAATTCAAGATAACCCTCAGCAATAAGTTCATGATCTACTCAATGGAGAAGGAACTACTATGGAGAGCAACTGGAAAGAGATAAAAGAGGCAATCACTTCAACATGTCATGAGGTTCTGGGCCAAAAGAAGCACCATCACAAGGATTGGATCACGGTCGATACACTGAATAAGATTCAAGAAAGGAGGAACAAGAAAGCAGCAATCAATACCAGTCGGACAAGAGCAGAAAAATTCAAGGCACAGGCTGAATACACAGAAGTAAACAAGCAAGTGAAAAGGAGCATCAGAACTGACAAACGTAAATATGTGGAAGATTTGGCATTGACGGCGGAAAAGGCTGCCAGAGAAGGAAACATGAGACAACTGTATGAAACAACAAAGAAACTCTCTGAAAATCACCGTAAACCAGAACGACCAGTGAAAAACAAGGAAGGCAAGATAATCACCAACATTGAAGAACAACGAAACAGGTGGGTAGAACACTTCAAAGAACTCTTGAATCGACCAGCCCCACTGAACCCACCCAACATCGAAGCAGCACTCACGGACCTCCCAATTGATGTTGGCGCACCGACACTTGAAGAAATCAGCATGGCTATCAGACGAATCAAGAGTGGCAAAGCAGCAGGACTAGACAACATTCCAGCAGAGGCACTGAAAGCAGACGTAGCGGCAACTGCAAGGATACTCCAAACTCTTTTCAGAAAGATCTGGGATGAGGAACAGATACCAAAAGACTGGAAAGAAGGACTTCTAGTCAAAATACCATAGAAAAGCGATCACAGCAACTGTGACAACTACAGGGGGATCACTCTTCTCTCAATACCAGGAAAAGTCTTCAACAGGGTATTGTTAAACAGGATGAAGGACTCCGTGGACGTCCAACTTTGAGACCAACAGGCAGGATTCCGTAAGGATAGATCGTGCACAGACCAAATCGCAACTCTACGGATCATTGTGGAACAATCAATTGAATGGAATTCATCACTCTATATCAACTTCATCGACTACGAAAAAGTATTTGATAGCGTGGACAGAACAACCCTATGGAAGCTTCTTCGACACTACGGCATGCCTCAGAAAATAGTCAATATCATACAGAATTCCTATGATGGATTAAACTGCAAAATCGTGCATGGAGGACAGTTGACAAAGTCGTTCGAAGTAAAGACCGGTGTCAGGCAAGGTTGCTTACTATCACCCTTTCTCTTTCTCCTGGTGATCGACTGGATCATGAAGACATCAACATCTGAAGGGAAGCACGGGATACAGTGGATAGCTAGGATGCAATTGGATGATCTAGACTTCGCAGATGATCTGGCTATTCTATCGCATACGCAACAACAAATGCAGGAGAAGACAACCAGTGTAGCTGCAGCCTCAGTAGCAATAGGTCTCAATATACACAAAGGGAAAAGCGAGATTCTTCGATACAACACAGCATGCACCAATCCAATCACAATTGACGGAGAATCTTTGGAAGATGTAAACACCTTTACAGATCTGAGCAGTATCATTAAAGAACACGGTGGATTTGATGCAAATGTGAATGTGCAAATAGGCAGAGCAAGAGCAGCATATTTACAACTGAAGAATATCTGGAACTCAAAACAATTGGCAACCAACACCAAAGTCAGAATTTTCAATACAAATGTCAAGACAGTTCTACTGTATGGGGCGGAAACCTGGAAAACTACGAAAGCCATCATCCAGAACATACAGGTGTTTATTAACAGTTGTCTACGCAAAATACTTCGAATCCGTTGGCCGGACACTATCAGCAACAACCTACTGTGGGAGAGAACAAATGAGATCCCAGTGGAGGAAGAAATCAGGAAGAAGCGTTGGAAGCGGATAAGACACACATTGAGGAAAGCACCCAACTGCGTCACAAGACAAGCCCTCATATGGAATCCTCAAGGTCAAAAGAAAAGAGGAAGACCGAAGAATACATTACGCCGAGAAATGGAGATAGATATGAGAAAAATGAACAAGAATTGGATGGAACTAGAAAAGAAGGCCCAGGACAGAGTGGGTTGGAGAATGCTGGTCGGCGGCCTGTGCTCCATTGGGAGTAACAGGCGTAAGTAAGTAAGTAATTATAACAGCTGATAACATCAATAACAAGTGTAATCCATTTGATGCAGCAGGCTTATGCACTCCAGTTATGAGTGAGATAGTTTATGTGAAAGCTTCCTAAATTTAAGAAGGTACAAAAAGGTTAAAACATGTAAACCACTGATTAGGAGTGAAGTGAGGTGAGCACTAAGTTCTACAGTTTACAAAACAATTGAACAGTATTCTGTAAAGGATCTTTATTTAAAAGTGCCATCAAGTTTATTCCGGTACTCAGCTGGCCTGATAAAAACAACACTACTAGCATAGTGCTGCCTTTAATGTAAACAATACTGAGATTTGTGATAAAGTACAAATTAGTTTAAAATATTTGGTACGAGGCTTTTATATATATATATATATATATATATATATATATATATATATATATATATTATCTTTGAAAAATAAATAGGTCATGCTTCTAACCACATTCAGATCTACATCCGAAAACTTATATTCAAGACTAACACTTGATCTTTGTGAACAATTTACGCACCAATCTATTCACACCAATACTGCAGAAAATATACTTTGGAATGAAAAATAATAACTTACTACAGATATAAAACCAGGATTTTCAAAGTTACAAAGTTTAACTATAACAGATTTAGCCAACATGCATAGTAATTGACTGCATGAAAATGATGGAAATTTTTCATTTGGACGCAGGATACGTAGCTGTCTATCAATGACAATTAGACGAATCATTCCTTAGAAACTGTGAAATGTGTCTAAAAACGAAACAGAAGTAATTTAAGGTTTTAAATCTAATCAATCCTTAAAGACGAGAAAAAATCCAAACTGTAACTTTGTATAGGTTTGCATAATAGGCGTAAAGGCTATCATACTAGCCAACCGTTGGTGCTGCAGTAAGTAAGAAATAAGATACATCGATAATCCTAACGAATAAATAGATATACCCGAATTTTTACTTAAAACAATGATAGGGATTATAAATGGTCTGACTAACAATCACCTAAAATAAGTATGGAAATCCAAACCTTTACTCTCCACAAATTAACAAAGGTATATTACGCCTTGTGACCAGCCTAAAGAAATTTAAGAGCTAAAGCACTTAACAAATTTATGATAAGCAAGCACTAACTGAATAGGTTTTTGTACTTTCAATTGGACAATCTATAAAGCAAACTTTCACCCAGCAGCTGAAGTTCTAGAAGATCTAGGAAAGTGTTGTCAGTCAATCTATTCTGTGAGGAATAAAGTTTAATGTAGGACAGTGTGATAGCTATGTATCTTGGTGTTTATGTTGCCAGAATGTAAGTCAGTCAGTTTATTGTAGCCGTGTCAATAAAAAGTGGAGAAATGATAAATTGACCATATCTAGAGAATGGGTTTTTTGGGAGAAGTAATGATTATAACAAGAAACTGAGAAAAAACAATTGACTAAAGCAGGGCGTTTCCCTTACTTTCCATCTAGGAAAACAACAACCCATTTTCTTGGATATTCTTGATGACGTAACTATATCTTGACCATCAACTAAAACGTCAAGTCAGAAAAACCGAAAATGAAAAACAATAAGCACTTTATAAATAGAAACTAGATTCGGGACAAAACTGTTGTTAAAGGTTGCAAATAGGTCAGTTTCGAATAAATTTCCCCGGATACGAATATGCAGTAACCCAAAAATATCAGTGCACTGGGTAGAAGTAATAATAGTGTATATGATGGTAAAGATGATAAAACAGTGGATATAGTTCAATAATGAGGTCTAAGAAATAGTTACGAAACATAAGATTTGAGAGGAAATAAAAAGACGGATGTAATTGCATCACTAAAACTAATTTCGGAACATGACCCAACTTCTGAATATTATTGCTGTACGGATCCTAACAACAACGACTAGTCTGACCGAAAAGTTAATAACTTAGTAGCGTTGAATTCTACTTTAATCGCTTCCAGCTTTTTTTTCAAGCTACTTCTGTACCTAGTAACATTGTGCGCCGATATGGGTGGCAATTGTGTAAGCTTGACATAAAGGGTATGGGTTAGGAAGTGAATAAGTGACTCAGTCTACACATGATTTACACATCAGAAACTCCCCATCCATCCTTTAAAATATTTCATTTAACCTAGGTTTTGTGCATGTTCCGTGATCTGTAGATATTAAAAAAGATACAATCGCTTTACAGCTACGAGAACAAACGAGTCATAAGAAATGAGCTCATTTCCTCATTGTTCCTATGCCTCGTTAACTAGATATCCTATGCGTATTCCTTTCAAATAGTTCATCAACTTACACATAAAACCACGGCACAAAAATCTTGATTAAGAAGTTTAATTAGACCGGACTCCGCCGTACTATGGTGAGTTAGTATATACATACTATATTTCATCAATTTAGTCCCTTAGTGAGATGGTTTATAGATATCTATGGTTTGGATCGATACCCGTTAACAAGCATGACATAAACCACTGATATTTTACAGTAATTATAAGCACTGGAATAAAATTTACCTTTGATATACGCTCTAAACATTCGACTACAAGTAAAAACCATATGGTGCCGCAACACTTCGAATGAGTTACACATCCTGATCATTTAAACTACTTCAAGGCCACCACTCACAATCCAGTATCCAACACATTTCATATATGTGATAAGCTTATGTGATTTATTTGCTCCTTGATATTGCTATAGAATTCCATGTCTTTAATGATGTCTAATGTGACTAATTCATCAAAATGTACTGATCCTAATGAATTCGACAGTTAAGTATTGTTTATCGAAAAGATAGATTTATGATTTTATTGTCACACTAATGCCATTTATGACAGAATATTTGACTTACAAACTCTTCTAACTGTAAGATTATCATTAACATCCTATCCGTTCAAAAATATCTTCACATGGTTTGAAAGACACCTTTCATTTTCGTAGAATTCTAGAAAACATTAAGGTCACTGATAAATTCCTCATTTCGTTTAATGTTCCAATACCATTCGCTGCAGTCTCACAGAATAAACTTTGCAAATTGCGTGTGAACACAGTGGACTTCTCCTCCTAGCAAGGGTGGGGTCGAACAGCTCTTACCACTGTGCACAAAATTCTTACAGTTTCAAACTAACAACACATCGAAGAGTTGATGGGGTCACTTTGTGCATGCCATCAGGATCGATCCTAGAAGTACATTAGTCTAAGAGGCCCAAGCTTCATATGAGTTGGTCAAACAATCGTGTTTGTCATCAACGTTGATGATCTCTGTAGAATAATTGGAGGCCTACTCGAGTTAGACGTGAATGATGCTATGAACCAGCTAACTACGAAGTCACACCTTGAGGTCAGCATCGAATGCGGATTACCCATTGGACCTATCAAAGTACTATGATTGCTTTGAAGACCGTATAACACAAAAAACGTTATCATAGAAATATATTAGTAAGAATGAGTACATAGAAGATAGCGAGAGCACCAACGTATGGGCCAGCCCATGGTATACGATTAACTGATGCTAGTTAGTTGTCCTTGGCCTTGACAGGGATTGATGATTTGTTCGGTATTCAGTGACCCAACTACCAGAAAATTTAGCTAGAGCTCAGAGACATTTCACTGGTCCTACGATACCCCACCACCACCAGATTCAACAGCTTTTTAAATCGGTACCAAACATATAGCTGGCCAAATAATTAATATGAACCTTACAGATCGAGAGCGAAGGTGGTACGGTGAAGTTTCTGAAAGATGATAAACGGTGAGTGCCGCATGTTTTTTCGATAAGTGGACCAAAAAATATCTAAAAAAGCACGAGAAACAAGGAGTGCCACTCTGGATTCATGTCAGCGGTACCAGTGAAAAAAGTTATCAGTGTTGAAATCGGAGCGATAATGTCGTTTTCATTATGCACGACAGTCAATCGACTGCGTAAACTAGTGATTCGCACGAATGATCGTGTCGTCAGACCACCAATTGAACTGGACAGGTTTTAAAACGTCGAGTGGTTGAATAGCCGTTTGATGTACCAAATTCATCCGTTCGATAACGGCCACGAGGAAACAATACTTCACAAAACAAAGTACGACGTCGAATTTGAACAGTTGCAATAGTTCGGGTGTTATAACGTCACATCGAAATAACATCATCCTTACGTATACCAACAGTTTCGCTCAACGTTCGTCTGGGTACTATTAGTGTAACAGTTAAATGTGTGGATAAAAACATATACGAAGACTATGGAGAGGTTTGTGGAGAGTTAAATAGGTCGTTTAGATCATTTCCAAACCCATATTGCGAGTAAATAAAACGGAAACGGAATCAAAATGACTTTCGTGTAATAAGGAAGTCGAACTATGATTTGCCGTGTGAAATATCAGCAATTAGAAAGAGTGTAGTAAACATTTGTAGAAATGGTAACCACCAATGTAATGAAGTTTAAAAGGTTTAGATAACGTGGCCATTTCGTAAAATACTGATTCAGAGCTCATTACCTAGCGTTAGGTGACATATTACGCAAGACAAAGTGTCTAGTTAGGACATGGAATAAGATTTCTCACGTACATGCGATACGTTTTTCTACAGTATGACGACTTACGAGTTATAAATGTACATGATTTCAACTAAAACCTGAGGGCAATGACAGAATATATAACTGCTCTACGTGAAAGCAACTACGAAATGTTATTAGGCATCATAAATACAGTACGAAATAATCTAATGCAATTGTGAAACACTCCTGGGTTACTCTCGCTCCCAACTACTTATGTCTATATAAGTAGCACACACCACATAAACACCACAGTATAGCCTCTCGCCTTTAGTATCATTATTTTGTCGACTTAAAAATACTGTTCTAATTTATCTTGGCTTTAACAGAGAATATAAACTTCTGAAAATAAAAGACTCGTATACTTTTGAAGTTTCAAAATAAGCTAATAATTATAGTTGATAAACTGTTCATAAAGTGATTCCAAAAACGATATGATTCAATTAAAGAACTAGTACAACCATCATCAAGAATGTACAAGTATTTATAAATAGTTTTCTATGCAAAATACTCAACATCCATTGGCTGGATACCATCAGCATCAGCCTTCTTTGAGAGAGAACAAACCAACTTCCAGCTCAGGAGGAAATTAGCGAAAGACGATGGAAATGGATAGGACATACATTACAGAAATCACCAAACCGCATCACGAAGTAAGCCTTAACTTGGAATCCTGAAGGGAAGCGGAAAAGAGGAATGCCAAAGAATACATTACATTGGGAAATAGAAGCAGATATGAAAAGGACTAATAACAATTGGAAAGCGCTGGAAAGTGTAGCCCAGGACAGGGTTGGATGGTGAGTGCTAGTGGGCGGCCTATGCTCTTCCACAAAGAATAACAGGCTCAAGTAAGTAAGTAATGCATCTAAATATGATGCTTATTGAGGTAGGCTAAACTTAATAATGCTTATACTGATCTATCTGATTCTGTTTCTATTCCATATTTTCAGTCCTTTTTCAAGAAATTTTAGTTGTTCTATGCGTTCAACTTTGTAAGTAATAGGAACGAACAATATTTTCTGTAACTCATTTCTACGGTCCATCTGGCATGACTATCCTTTGAAAACTTGTCTGTTTAAATAATAATTTGGCTCGGTCGACTATTCCGCCTTGTGATACTCGAATCCAGAACCTATCAGTCTCGCGCGCAAACGCTCAACCTTTAGACCACTGAGCCGGCATCCAATTATGTTAATGTCTAACTTAAACTAATCCACGAAATTAAGCGACACATCTACCATTGTCTTCAGTGATATTGCTATTTAAACATAACCTTTTGTCCTTCATTTTTCTATTTTATGGCTTAGTCTGGACATAATTGTATTGTATTACTTGTATGTTCTGGTCATATTAGTCATCTATTTAATCATATGTCTTTTACCGTTGATCTGAAACAGGAATAAATCGAATTGTGTTCCAGTTGACTCATCTTCTCTATCTCTTGCCTTGTGACGCAGTTCGTGCTTTCCTTAATGTGTATCATATCCAATTCCAGCGCTTCTTCCTGATTTCTTCTTCCCCTGGTATTGTTTACATGAATTTTCCCATTGATGTTTAAGACTGAAATCGGTCAGTCTCCTATTGGTATATGTGCATACCATGAGTTTTACCTCGATATTGCCTTAATTCACAAGCATTATAAGCGAAGATGGATAGTGGCTGGCAGTGAAATTCAAGACGCGCGTTTCCCCCTATTTCGGATTCGTCAGCCGGATTTACCTGCATCCCAGAGTTGATGTTCACTCCGAAACTCGAATCCAGTTTTGCTATGTTTATCCATTGAATGGTTGGAAAAATTATAAACATTTTATACGGTACACAGTCATTTCAGTTTTCTTTACTTCAAGAGTTGGTGTGAAGTAAAATAATCAATAACTATTTTCATTCAGTAATTCTATCCAAATATCTTAATGATAGATGACTTAACAGAGTTCTTAGTTTAGTATAATTTGGTATTGCTTAGTTTCGGAGTCAGATCTAGTGGACAAACCCCATAAGTTATTTCTTTGAAAAATAATAAATCAACTTTTCAGGACAATACTCTCACTGAACGTATATAAAAGTGATCCATCAATCCACCTTACGACTTCTCCTTGAGTAAAAAGGATACTTGATTTAGAGCCTAGACTGACTAGTTTATGTTTTCAATATGCCCATCGTTTTTATGCTTAAAAAGGATTCCTTCTTTGTGTGCAGAGATCCTGAATCTATGGTTATTTTTTCCACAGTTGTCCATGATGAACTTATGTAATGGTTGAATTGATTCTTTTACCTTATTATTTTGGACAAATTATGTGGAAAGGTGTGTAGAATTTACTGTTATTGGACATTTGGGGGCTTGAATTAACGGCATATAAGATGGTTACACCAACTTAAAATTAGGATAAAACGATCGATCGAGTTATCTATGCTGATTAGTACAATGAAAGATCATGTTATAGTATAAATAGAGATCCGCACTACGAAGAATTATACTATGTAAATCAACAGCCAAAAATTTTAATTTCGAATTCAGTCACATTCTATTACCGATCATACCACAATCTCTGTAATTCATATTGTCCAAACCAAGGTTCGCTACGACAAATGAAGTAAGTCAAATATGGTATACGTTTCGTTCAGCCAACTTGTCTGGACTTCTTCAATGTATGATGTAGGTTGTAAACTATTAAAATTCAAAAACACCAACAGCCCCTTGGAGATTGTTCCATATAAGTCTTACCGATAAATGAAAACTAGTAAGTACCACTATGCAATTACGATAGTTTCGCTTCCGAAATGCTTGATGGTTTTTTTACTTAACGATACTTATTAATTAATCTTAATGTTCTTATTACTAGTGTTCTGATAGTTGGTTTCATGCTCTTATTAAATTAAATAAAAAGTTATGATGAGAAACTGTGTAACCATTTGAGTCCAGTCATATCGGACATTAGAATGACATTACTAATGAGGAAAAGATAACAGTACAACAATATTAGAAACTGACCGAGGTAAGAAATGTAAACCACTAGATTGCAACTTAGTGGTTTAGAGGTTAGGGGATCACAAACAGGTCTGAGGATTATAGTTCCAAACCCTAGTATGTTCGCTGATGTTCACCGACGCGGAGGTCCATACTACGAACTAAACGGCTGTCCAATACTTCCTTGTTTTTAATGATTATCTAGCTAAATTGAATTTCAATCATTTGAATTACAAATGATGATATTAATTTAATTCTTAAGGGTTTATAAACCATCCCGTTGTTAATATACTGAATTTTAATCAATCTTGGTTGGTATATATGCATCTTGTACAGAGGAGATACATTTGCAGCTATATTCAGCAGTTAGCAAGTCTCAAGAAGGGCGAAACGTATATTCTAGATTCCACCGCTCACTTTACTCCATGATCATCACCAAACTTCGGGTACATGTGACTAATCTACAACTATTGGGTCACTGAACATAAACAAACAAATCTATATAATAAAAAAAACAAAACAACAACCATTTGATCAGCAAACAATAACTAACGGCAGGATAATTTTATTTAACATGATAACAACTAAACATTTGAATGATAATAATAACAATGCTTTAATAGAAGAACACAAACACAGCAAAATCGTGAATCTTTATTGTTATTCTTCGTGATAGTGATGATAATCATAATGATGATGATGATGATGATGATGATGACAATGAAGTTCCAAGAGAAAAAAGAAACCGACCAAAAGCAAATAAAAACGAATAGAACCCCCTTTTTTCTTTACTTTATTATAAAAAAAACGAAAATAAACTGATAAACAAACAAATCGTATTAGAGAAAAAGAAACTCTGATTGAGTGACTAACTGAGGAGGACAAGTAAGGAGTTAATTGAGAGAAAGAGAGCGAGTGATAAGAACAGTATAATTACCACAAAAATTCTTTCAACTAATTTTTTTTTAAAAAAAAAAACCAAAAACAAAAACGACAAATGCACTGGGATAAGCAAAAGACAGTTTGATTGGGATCGTGAATGTGTATACCAAAACTTTTTTCTTTCATACTGACAGATATATGTAACCAAATAACCTGGAACATGTAGAAGACACATTATTATGATCTTAGAACTTTTATTTGTGTATTTTTGTTAACTATTATCTATTTTCTGTTCATTGAAGATTGTTCCTATTTTCGTATTTCATTAAAAGTGGTTATATTGCAGTAAGTTGATGGATTGACACTATCTCCATATGTATACGCATGTGAATGTGTTAATGTGTACAGCAAATAACTGGGTATACTTGTACACCTATATGTAAGTACATATGTTTATTTATATTTTCACCTATGTAGTATATATATTCTGAAATTGAAACATAAAAGCATAATATTGACTTGACAAATGATCACACCATAAGAATTGTTATAAGTATCCCCGTCATAGTCACTATGCTCCTCGTTTACTTTTATCAATATGTAGTGAATGATATAAATGATTCAAAGATGATCCATTGAAGTGGGGCTCGGGTGGTCGAACAAAAGATCAAAACATTCTAGAAAATGATACAAATGTACACGAATGAAAATGGGGATTGTTTTTTTTTAGTGGGGATGATGACAGAAAAAAAGGAGGTAGGTAGAACGTAACCATCTAAAAAAAAAAGAGTTATATTACTCTCTTACCACATCGAACAGAAATATTAAAAAAAAAACAGTAACAATGTGAATGAAGAAGTTATCAAAACAAATTGTTATACTCCTGCTGTGAACATTTACAGATAGACAAAGTTCCGATGAAAGTTTTTGGGGAACATTACAATGACTAGGGTATATAATTGGAATTATATAATAAGTGTAAAATGAAGTATTACCGGATACATAAAATAGCACTTTTTTTGGTAGATGTACAAAATCCAGTTAAAATTGATCGTATGTTTTTTTTTATTGTCAATAACCATTTGTACCTTTCGTGTAAACTTATTAGAAAATGAATTGTTCAAAATGATCAGCTGAGCTAGAGTTTGCTTTTTGATAGTGGAAAACCGGAAAAGTTATCATACTACTCATTATTATTATTATTACTATTATTACTAACCGATTTATCTGTTTATTTATATTGATAAAAATGTCCTTGGTTATATCATGTCGATTAAAGATTACATTTATATTGGTGTGTTTATATTGTTGCTATGAAAGAAAATAACAGCGAGATACAAACGTATCTATGTATAGTCTATATGTGATTGATGTATCAACTAGTATGTATGTTTGTAAGAAAATGTACTTTCTTGTGATTGTTAGATATCTTTCTTACTTCACCTAAATAGTAGAAAAGAAGATAAGAATTTTGAAACCGCATACACATACATACAAACATACCTTCTTTAAATAGAAAACACAGTAGCAGCAGGGTGTAATGAAGTTTGACATTAAAAAAAACAAACAACACAACTTTAATGAACCATAAATCAAATCATCATGTTTATATACGTATAAGATCTTGATACAGAAGAAGGGAAAGTCAATTTGAAAAGAAAACCTGAAAAGATAATAAATAACATACATGGATACTATTGAAAAACCAAGTTAATAAGTAGGATATTGCAAGGAGAATAAGAGAGAGAGAGGGGGGGAGAAGAAAAAGCAAGTCTCGATACCGTGAATGATTAGAAAAAAATCGAATGAAATCTTGAAAATAAGACGAGAATATATGTGTAGGCACATGAAGCTATGATATTATTATTATTATTTCATGACAAAGATACAAATGCTTTAGAGAATGATATAGAAAAATTGGTGATATGCACCTCGTGGTTCTTTTAGGGTTGGAAGGGGGAGGGGTGAAAAGGCATTACACTTATTTACTTACATTCACATATATATTCATACATTAGAAATTATAGGCGGAATTGTTATGTAAAACAAGAATTACAGGTATCGTTTTTAGAAAGAGAAGATGAACTAATTGTTTACATGGTTATTCGTTTACTGTATTGCTATAACTACTTCCAAAAGAGATGAAAAGAATTGACGAAATAGTATGATTGTAATCTATGAAGAGAAAGGTATTCTTGTTATTATAAAGTTGAACATTTGTATACTTGTTACACAACTACAAGAGATGGGAGAAATATCAAGACTTTGGTAAGAAATAACCAATATTTACATGAAATTTCAAAAGAGAAATCCACATTGTGACAATGAAAATGAAAACCTGTTCAAATAATTACAACGCATAATTCGAAGATATTTTAAAATGTGTCTGTGTATGTGTGTATTAGAAAGAGAGGGAGGGAGAAAGAGCATAGTACTAATCCATCATAATTACTGCAAAGAATTTCCTCATCAATGTTTACAAGTTATTATTATCCACAGGGGGTGAAAACAAAAGTTGGTTATCTACTTGAAGTGATGTGTGTGTATAGATATTTGGATGAAAGTGTACATTGTATTTAAGAGTTTCTTAATCATTAATATAAATACAATTCAAGCGCATACACAGGGGGATCCAATACTACTTATATTGTAACTCATACTAATATTACTACTGTCATTGTTATTAGTAGTAATAACAAATTTTATCAGCATCGTTCATTTGAAGTGTGCCTAAGTAGTACTATTAGTAGTATATAAAAGTATAGATACATCCATACAACATAACTATTACTATCAATACTATAATAATAATATAATATTACAAATATTGTCGAATAAACATAATATAAGATGACGACGGCAAAGGAAGGCAGTTAATTTACTTTCAAAAGAGAAGAACATGAACAGTAGCATACAATCATCATAATCTATGTACAATATACTATTTATTTCTGAAAGAAAACAAAAAAAAGACAATTATCACTCGAAGTTGAAGATATCAGTAGTAGTCTATCATTAAGCACATGATTGGACAATAATTTACTCTTTTTTCTTCAATTGCACGATCCAGATGATTGATTCAATATTGAAGATGGTGAAAAAAATCAGGATCAATGTCAACATCAACTCTAAAGATGTAACATATCTGATCTAGTCAAGTACTTTCTTTCTCTCTCTCTCTCTTTCTCTCTATTCATAGCAAAACTGAAAATTAGATTGTTGTATATTTTGTAGGATGACGTAATAAATTAGGTACAAGACGAACAGATGGCCATTTTCGTGAACTTGAATTCGTTATTGTCTTGCTTTTATTATTATTATTATTATTATTATTATTATTATTATTATTACTAGTAGTAACAGTCTCGTCACCACAATGATCATCATTCTCCACCTCACCATCATCATCATCTGGATCACAGCTTAGAGTGGTAGTAGTAGTAATAGTAGCAGTGGTAGCCACCGTTGTCATTACTGTAATCACTTCATTAGTATTGTTTATTAGTGAAATTGAAGTTTTATTTGTATTATTAATATCAATGGGAATTGTATCTACAGATGTTTTAATTATATTATCATTCACCGATCCATTATCATTATTATTACTGTTATTAATAGTAGTAGTTGTCGTTGTGGTATAACTTGAATCTTCTGCATTTAGTGTCGACATGGATAATAATGATGTTGATGTGGAAGATTTCTGTGGTAATTCTGTTATTCGACTTTGTTCAGTGATTTGTTCCGAGTTAATTATATTACCACTACAGACGATCTCTGATTCAGAAGCACTACAAGTATAAATAAGAAACTGTTTATCTCTAATGTTAAACAAATAACTAAACATTTAAATGAATTTATAGTTGTAATGAAAAAAAGTGTTTATTATCTGTTTGATAAAAAGTTCAATGTCTAAAGAAAAACTACTCTATAGAACAGTTATGTTGTCATTTTGATATCAGTTGAGTTAAGGCCTTAAATCAATGATTCGGTCTCATGAGCAAACTATCACTTGGCTGTATACTGTATCATTTATTGATTTTAAAAGTACAACCATACAAGTGAAATTTTTCTATTAGATATTCTATTTATGGGGAAAACAATGAAAATTGTTTCGTTTGACAAGTAAAAAAAGAACCGATACTTAAATAAGCCATCTCGTTGGGATATTGATTTATGGGAATTTCCTTTCTTCTTAAGAAGTTCTCCACACACGCACACACACAATCTCTCTGTCTCGCCCTAACAAACAAAAAAGTGATGAATATGATTGATTAGGATTGCTTTGAAGTGTTAATAAGAAAAATCAATTAAGTGTATAGTTGAACTGTCATTCTTTTCTAATAATGAACTGACATAATCAGTAGACAACATAAACTATCATCCGACGATTCGATTAGCTTACCGTAAATATTGGTCGTATGAAAATCTTTATATGAAATTAATCCATTTCGGGATATATTATCTCTTATTGTATTAAAACTGTAGAGAATTTAGTAGTAAAGTATTTTTCCTTATTGACTGTACAACTGCTCATTTGATCAGAATGAGTTGTATTTCATTCACCTTTGTTTTCACTCAGTACAAACTCCCATTCATAAAGTTATTACTACTATCAATAGTATAGCTTGCATTACGAGTTGACCGTTAGCGGGAAAATGATTTAAAACTAGAGAAAAGTGAACGGCTGTTTCGTCCTAGTATAGGGATCCTCAGTAACTCGTGACGAAGATCCTACCGGGATAGTACACTAATGGATGACGAACCTAGAGATTATTCGGAGGTCATGTGTTTGTCATGAGACCTAAAGGTTTAGAGGTCTAATCCCAAACGAGAGTAATAGATGAGCACTGCCAAGTAGTCATCAATTAGGATGGAACAATTGTCCATTGTTTCTTGGTTTCCAATGGTTCTCCAATTAAGATCAACTTATGATGTAAACTGTGAAAGTTCAACAATCTTAGCAAACTTTAAAACAACAGTAATAATCATAATAACACTAAAATTTGAATACTGCTGATGAAAGTAGTCAAAAGAAAGAGAGGAACTCACTTCACCATTTCAATATCTAACTTCAACGAATCTACATTATTATTGCCGTAGATGTTGTGAATAGCCGACATATTGTCAAACTGCCCACCTCCCATACCATCACTACCATTACCAACTGTAACAACATCAACGCCAGTTGGATAAGAAGTGATAGTAACAGTTGGAAGAGAATCTTTGACAATCGCATTCATTATATCATCATTATTATTATCATTATCATCAGTAGTAGAATCAGTGATGATAGGAGTGTTGTTGCAGTCGGTTGTAACGACATCATTTGAAAGTAGACTTGTTGTAGAGGTCATAATATTTGTATACAATGAGGATAATGACGTTGTTGGTGATGAGTATGAAGTAATTTTATTATTATTATTTGTAGGACTATTGTCAGTTGATATCATTATTGTTGAATTGCCAGAAGGTGGCATGATAATTCCTCCTTCAGATTCTTCTATTTTCATAAAATTAACTTGATTCAAAGCTGAATTACGACTCTGAAAAGTTTCTTGATTTAAACCAGGTAATAATAAAGCTGATAATAAAGGAGATGACTGAGATGGAGTTGTACAAGAAGCACCAATTGTATGAAATGTTGATGATGATGTAGTTAGTTCAGGGGAGAAATTTGATTTCGGTGAATTGGATGGATTATTCGATTCACCACCTGTGGTGAATGATTGATGCGAGATAATTGAATGTGTTGGTGATGATAATGGAGTTGTTAATTGTGTATCCATAGGAATTGAGGCATCGACTATTCCTGGTATTAATGCTGTTGTGACTTTTGGTGAAACAGTTTCATTGGCTATGGCTGCAGCATCAGTACGAGTAGATTTTGCGGAACCCTGAAAAATATCGACACATCAAATTATATTTTTTGAAGAAAAGTGGATGAATATTTTTATCCCGTGGAATCAAACGATGTAAAATGGAGTTGATTGACAGTGGTAAACTTAACAATAACATAACATCGTATTTACACATTTTTTTATGACGAAACAAATAGTCAGTCAGTAACAACGTGGAACTTCGTACGTACGTACATCAGTTCGAGTTGCCATACCACATTAGCACAGAGATTCAGTTATCGATTCAAATCCCGTAGTGGTAGAGGTAGTGAAAGTATAAGTAGTGATAGGGAACATTAGGGTTTGATGATGTTATTTAAGGAGTATAGTCCAGTGGAATAGATTTGGAAAGAAAATAAAGGACATGAAGAATTCAGAAGATTAGAATTTGAGAGAACACAAAGAGTGGATGCACCTGCGCTATTGCAAACGATTTTGAGCCATGTCATTCAAGATCTCTAACCATAGGTTGCTATTGTTTCGCGGACCCCAACCAGTTAGTCTACACCTACCAACATGGCTCAGTCCACTTGTCAGTGACTTCATGGATTTGTGCCATGTTTTGGTCTGGCTAGAGTTGGAACTAGCAGTCCTAATGATTATTAATTATAATTTTGTTGCATAATTACTGAGTAGCTAGATTACTACGTCCAAGTATTCCTTTTATTATAAGCTTTTGCTTGACCCACTAGCTACTGTTGTACCATCTACTATTCTTAATCTGTTCCCAATCTATTACTTCCGGTCCCCCTAATTCACAGCCGTATTTGGCTCGTCTATGTGTAATTGTGATCTTTTTTCATTTTATGGTGCAATGTGGCGGTATGGTATGTCTGCATATAAATCACGTCTTTTAGAAATATATCAGAGACTGGTTGCTTTTTTTGAACTCGAAGCAGGGTGTAGAGAGGATCTAGCAAATAGTAAACCAACAATAACCTGGTTCTTGAATCGAGGTCAATAGTGCTGGTTGGATGTGTAATTGGTCAAGTCAGAAACACTAAACTCGAGAATAAATAGCAGACGTGAAATCGACTAAATTTGAATTAGGATTCTGATTAGTGATTTGACACGTACTTTTGGTCAGTAGGACTTGAAGACATAGCAAAGTATTGATCATATATTGAGTTTACAATATCTCATGAATGCTCAATAGTATATGTACGCTTAGGGCGGGGGGAGGTAATATAACCATTGACTTGTTTTATGGAAGGGGATTGTTGCTGTTACATATTCAAATAACCAAGTAGCCCATGCTCAACATTAGTTACTATCTTATTTAGAAACTAACTTATTCAAACAGAAAATTGAAACACATTACTTAATTTGTATGGTTATATTGCAACATAACCTGGTAGTTCCCCTGAGTAATTTATGTAAGCATCTGACAAGAATTGAAGCAATATTGAGGAACTATCTTGTAATGTGTTTATTATTAAATAATTATTATTATACTAGTACATGTGAATAATTTATATATTTAATTACCGAGGTCCTATTAAATATTTATGACCAGTAAAATAAGACTGTGTCGGATGTAAGGCCGTTACCTACTGAAGACAATAGAAGATAGTTGCGCAATATCTGGAATTGATTGAAGTTCAACACTCATATTCAGTGGTCTAGAAATCAAGTCCTCGATTCAAGACTTATGATCCTGCATTTGATCCCCAATGAAGCCGTGGATCCTCAATCTTAAGCAATGCCATAATATGACGAAACAACTATCCTATTTTCCAACGGATATATAACTTCGGTTCGGTTCATGACGTCAATAACATACAACTTTATTCTAAACATTTCAATAGACTAGTTTTTACCTACTCATAAGTAGTTAATGTAAAACATCATCTAAATAGGATGACAAAATACATAATAAATTAAAAAATAAATATTAGCTTACTTGATGTTTACCTCCAGAACTATTGGGATACCAACGTCTGTCAAAGAGGAGGAGATCCGAAAAAAAAGTGGAAAATTAATTTACGAAACTTATATAGAGATTACACAGGAGTACAAGCAAAGACGATAATGGCCAATTTTTTCTTTAATAGAGCAAACACAAAACTTTAACACCTTTAAACGCATATATATAAATAATCGAGTACTCTATGTTTACACACAGATTGAAATACAAGTAAGAAAAAGGGATAATTTTAAACATATCCTTATGGCTTGTCTTAATTAACATGGTTGGTTAGTGAAGTAGTCAATATATTTCTTTTCAGAACTGAATAGAGAAAACAGTGGATCTAAGCTTAAAGACAATTGATAGAGAAGATTTGGATGATGTGAAAACCTTTAAATATCTGAGCAGTATCATTAAAGAACACGGTGGATTTGATGCAAATGTGAATGTGCAAATAGGCAGAGCAAGAGCAGCATATTTACAACTGAAGAACATCTGGAAGTCAAAACAATTGTCAACCAACACCAAGGTCACAATTCTCAATATCAATGTCAACACAGTTCTACTGTATGAGGCGGAAACCTCGAAAACCACGAAAGCCATCATCCAGAACATACAGGTGTTTATTAACAGTTGTCTACGCAAAATACTTCGGATCCGTTGGCCGGACACTATCAGCAACAACCTACTGTGGGAGAGAACAAATCAGATTCCAGTGGAGGAAGAAATTAGGAAGAAGCGTTGGAAGTGGATAAGACACACATTGAGGAAAGCACCCAACTGCGTCACAAGACAAGCCCTCACATGGAATCCTCAAGGTCAAAGGAAAAGAGGAAGACCGAAGAACGCATTACGCCGGGAAATGGAGATAGACATGAGAAAAATGAACAAGAATTGGATGGAACTAGAAAAGAAGGCCCAGAACGGAATGGGTTGGAGAATGCTGGTCGGCGGCCTATGCTCCATTGGGAGTAACAGGCGTAAGTAAGTAAGTAAATGAGTAAGTAAGTAAGCAAGTAAGTAAATAGGTAAGTAAGTAAGCAAGTAAGTAAATAGGTAAGTAAGTAAGTAAGCTCAAAGTCAATACAGCCTCAAGGTCACGGGACATAGATCTAAATAGGATGTTATCTACTGATGTGAAAACAGATCTTCCTAATGTGTTATTGTCTATTAATTGTATTATGAATATTATCAGAGCTCATATTATAGTATGGAATCAAGGTGTAGAGTTTAGAATTTAAATTCAGAGTTTGTATCAGGGTTTAAATTTAGTAGTTAATATTGAGATGTAGAGGTCAGGACTTAAGATCTGTGATTAGTCAATCTATAATATTGTACCTTGATATTTCAAGTTCGTTACAAACCCTGGGGGAGGGATATTAGGTTTTTCTAATACGACAGGTTCTATTGTATAAATCAATAACACCAACTAGCACACAAAACTTGATCGCTAACACAAGAAGAAAAAAAACAAACAACAGAAAACTTGAATATTGAAGCAGAGCATACAGAAACAAAATGAAATGGTATAGTAACAAAAACATGACTTTCAAATATACAGACATTTTAGCGAAACTAAAAGCGATAGTAATTAATTAGCTGAAGACAAAGCTCATGAGAAAAAAAAATTGAATAAAGAATTTTTAAAAAAAAAAAAACACATTTGATTACCATTTCTAGTAAGATCTCAACATTGTTAAAAAATTTGAAGTAATCATTTAACCACTTACTTTAACAGTACTGGAAACTATAGTTGTTCTAACGGTAATTTTCAAACGGAATATACTTATTCTAACCCCAGATTCTAAATTCCATATTCATATTCGAATTATAAATTATAAACTCTACAGTTTATCTATTTTTGTATTGGTTATTTGAATCTTCCGATTAATGTTTAGGACTGTAATTGATCGGTCACTTGTTGGCATATATGCATACTATGTTGATTGTCTAGATATTGCCTTAAGTCACAAGCATTATAAGCAAAGATGGATAGTGGCTAGAAGTGAAATCCAAAATATACGTTTCATCCTATATAGGACTCATCAATTGGATATACCTGTTAGCCACTATCTATCTCTACATTTGAAAATCTCAAATTCTACTCTTAAATCATTAAATTAAATTCTAATTCCATAACTTAAATTCTATTACTAACTTTATAAATTATTCATTCATATTTACTATTTTCTAATTGACTGAATAAGATTTCAAGTTATTTGAAGAGTTATTCATTCTCATTTAATCATAATTTAATTTTATACATTAAAGGAACTTAGTAGGAAAATTGACTAAGTTCCAATGATTAACAAATTCAAGAAAACTGATGTATTTACGAATTAATATGTATTTTTGAAAGTCAGTACATGGGAAAAAACTGAAAGAATAAAATCTATAAGGTTTTCGGAACATATTGATCAGAAACAGTATCTGAAAAATAGTAAAGTATTTATAAGTGTAATCACTAGACATTTAATGGATAATGGACAGAATGTAGATGTCTTAAGACTATTCAAAATAATTAACATACAATGTAAATCACTTTTACTTTGTTTTCTAAAGTCGATTACCATCACAAGTTTTCAATTTAATATTTGTATACAAAAAGAAAGTAAACTTCTTGTTGCCATGGTCATATGATCTTTACATTTTGGTTGATAAGTTAAGGTTAGAAAGAAAAAATTCCCAGTGACAATATTCTATTCTAGAAGTTAATTTTAATGTTACATTAAATAGGTGTCTTGATTATCACTCTAATTTGTTAGTAATTTGTCTTTATTTATTGTCTCTTTATTATTATTTATAACAGAAGGGTTTTTGTGGATATTATAGTAATTTCAATGGTTGAGATCATGAGTCAACTGGGTGTGTTGTGATATAGTAACTCATTAAAGACAAGGGTGAGTGTATCGATCAATTTCGTGGATTAGTTAAAGTTATACATTAACACCATTGGATGCCGGCCAGTTCAATGATGTAGAGCTTAGACGCTCACGACCGAGACTGATAGGTCCTGGGTTCGAATCTCGCGAGGCGGGACCGTGGATACGCACTGCTCAAGAATCCCACAATAGGACGAAACAGCCATTCAGTGCTTCCAGGTTTTCCACGGTGGTCTAGTTTCAATTGACTCATGATTTCAACCAATGAAATTATTATTTATAACTTTAACCGCTCGTCTCCATTCTTCATGCATTCATTTTCAGTCTATGAAATGTTAATTAACCTTAACTATTATGTTAAGTATATTGTTTCCCCTTCTTGTTTTTTTAGGTCGTTTCGAACTAAACTTCATCGATTATGGTATGTAATAACATATTTTTAGAATAATATTTCTATCGTAAATTTAGACCGTTTGAAGATGGTGAGAAGCCTTCAAATAAATAGATTTGTCTAATCTATTTGGACAAATTTTTTTCTTGATAAATCTGTTACTAGATAACTTGTTATTGCTCTTTGTAACCGTTTCCTAAAACTCTAAACTATACCAACACTTTAACTTGAACAATAGAGAAAAAGTGCAAAGTGTAATAGCTTTATCTTAAAGTTAGCTACGTACGGAAAATCGAGAGTTTCGTATAACTCTAACTCTTCAAAAACTTCTAGAGACATACTAAATGTAGTAACGATCAAAATATGATACCTAATCTTTCATTATTCTTAAGAGTTTCTATTCAATGCTGATTGGATAAAACGTTTCCAGACATTTTCTGGGTCTTTAAAGTCTTTCACGATGAGTAATTTGTGGACTAATCAGGGTTTTTTTCAAATTAGATAATTAATAAGGTAACTCGAAAATTGAAAACATACACACAGAGTAAAATCAATAGCGTAGCTTATATCTACCTCATGTATCAACATCATTAGAACACTTTATTGTAATGTTGAAGTGCCATATGAAAATTGAATAGAAAACCATATTTCCTATACAATTATAATAAATTTCTTGAAAAGAATAAAAACTCGGGGAAGAAAATTCATTCATTTCAATATATGTTGGGTAGAGTCGCTGAAATGAAACGATTGTAAGGTTATAATTGGTTGTAATCAGAGAGGGGTTTTGTGGATATTGTAGTAATTTAATAATTGAATTCGTGAGTCCTGGGTTCGAATCCCGCAAGGCGAGATCGTGGGTGCGCACTGCTGAAGAGTCCCATACTAGGACGAAACGATCGTTCAGTGCTTCCAGGTTTTCTATGGTGGTCTACTTACAATTGACTCATGACTTCAATAATTGGTTGATTGAAACAAGAAAAATTCAATTAATTTTCTTTAAAACACTTGAATAGTTGAAAAAATTTAGTAATTTTGATGATTTAAACAACAGACAACCAATTCGTATATTATTCACTTTTTCTATACTAGATACCTAACGAGCACTATTTTACGACACTTCAACATAATTCAAATCAAGAACATGTGACTCGCCTGACTAGTATGTGTTTTACCCAATAGCCGACAATCAAGTAAGTTCAAGGGTTAATGAAATATATGTATAGGACACATAAAATATCTGTCACAGTATCCACAAGTCTATCTAGGAAAACAATCAATCACTATTTCCTCTCGTTCACACAACATAATCATTAACAAACTTAAAATCTAATACGAATATCCCATTCATTTAAGTGATCATCAAACTTCAGTCAGATAAAAAATATCAAGGACTCAGTCATATAAATATATAATATCAGTCTGAGTGAAAATACCACATCAGCACACCGGGATGAAATCAACAACAGAAATCCCAGAATAGTAGAAATAGTAAAATTAACTGCGTTAGTAGAAAACATGAGGCACAGACAATGATTCAAGAAGAAATAATCGCATTGAAATCCTCAACCGATCCAAGTTGGACAACTATTGTGAACCTAGAAGCACTGAACGGCCGTTTTATCCTGGTTTGGGACTCCTCGGCAATGCACATCCACTACCCTACAAGCGTAAATCGAACCAATAACCATCAATCTTCCACGAGAACAGTTCGATTCACGCATGAGGAGTAGTGAGTTCGCACTTCAACTGAGGAGT